ATTATTCTAGTAATGGAAATTCTCGACCAGTAGCTAAAAAAACAACAAAATCAACTAGAATAATCAACGGGCGTCGTATTGTTACAACAAGGTATGAAATAAATAAATAAATAAATAAAAAGAAAATTTATTTTTATTTAATTTTTAGAGTGGAAGAAAATGGACAAACAACAGAAACAATCGAAGAAGATGGTCGATTAACATCGAGAAAAATTAATGGAATTTTACAAGCCATTAAATAAACAACAATCAGACTTGAACAGAGCATTTTCATTCCCAAATAAACGGCAACATACAATAAAAAATCTCCTATTTATACATATACATCTAAAACATAAACAAATTATCTCATTCATCTTCATGTATGTCTTGCTGTATGAACAAGAAAAATTCAATTTTTGATTTGTCTGGTTTTTTTACGAGTCGATTATATGTTTTTTCTTTTCATATTTCACATGTTATTCAATGCTTATCTTCTTTTTTTCTTTAATACATGTGTGTGTGTATTTAGTATATAAGATATTTGTAATAATGAAAAAAGAAATAGACAAGATAAGCTTTATATGTAATCCATTTTTAGACGAAAAATGAATAATACTAATGAAAATGAATTAGCAGGTGGTACACGTGCTCAAAATTTATCTTTACCTAGTGAATTATCAGCTGAAAAAATACAAGATTTTCAAGCTGCTTTTAGTATTATGGATACACAATCAAAAGGTTATGTTGCCACTGATGATATTATTCGAGTTTCAAAATCGGCAGGTAGATTCAAATGAATGAGAATATTAAAAAAACGCATTTTGCATTATTCTTATTCAAAGATATGAAATTAACTAAAAATGAAGCTCAATTATTACTTGGTTCAGCTGATGATGATCATTCAAATGGAATTGATATGAGAGAATTTATATCAATGATGACAACACCAATTAATCAACAAGATTTAGAAGAAGAACTTCGAGGAACATTTAGTGTTTTCGATAAAGATGGAAATGGAACAATTAATGCAAATGAACTGAAAAGATTTGTTCGAGTATGTTCAAAATATAGAAAAGAAAATTATTAAGAAAAATTATTTTACTTTTTAGTTATGGGATAATGAATTAACTGAAGATGAAGCTGATGATATGATTGAAGAAGCTGATCCAGATAAAACAGGTTCAATTACTTATGATGCATTTATTGAATTTCTCTTACACTCATAATTTATAAAATTATAAAGTGATATATTTATTTTATATATTGTATAGGATTTTATAATAGTATTTAAGTAATTTATTCCATGTCTTTATTCTTTTTAAAATTTTATTTATGAAATAAACTTTTTCTTTTTTTAAAAATATAATAAATACTTCCGAACGAAATAAAACAATATTGTATATAAGAACAAACTGTATCTGTATATTGTCCTTGGATAGATTTATATTATGAGAATTTGATCTTTTACACATTGTCATTTATAGAAACCGATTACTACTGTTCATGAACCTGCTAAAATTGACAAGTATTTGATAGATATCTCATGATGTTATCAACATAAAAAACAATCTTGTTATTGTGACCTTTGATATGAATTTGATAGGAATTATCAGACTTAGCGATAAATCATTATATGAACATACAATCAGAAATCTTTTTAATATTTAATCATTAATTTGAAATATAAAAAATAATTTGATATTAAAAATGCTCGGTTTTATTTAATAAAATTTATTTTGACAATATTTTTTATTCTATTAATTTATGTAGATTAATAACAAATCATTAATCATATATAGTTATTTATTTGACATTATTATTTCTTTTTTTGATAATTCAATAAAGAGTACTTGATAATTGTTATGAGTCTATAAAAACATCAGCTTATTCTCAAGGAATCTAAAGGAAAATATTGATATGATCAATAATTATAATATATGCTTATTGATCATTCATGCATATTTTCATGCATCAGAAAATAACAATAAATACAAGAGGGAGAACAAAACTTTGTTGTTTGAAACTTTGTCCTTGATTATATTGTAATTTAACCCATATTTTATTAGACATAAAAAAATATAAATTTAATTTTTTTTCAATTTAAAATAAACAAAATTTAAATATTAATTATTTTATATTATCATAAATGAATTTGACAGTTTTGAAAAATTTTATTTTTCATAGTGAAATTTTGTAATGTATTCTTGACTTCTAACATATGAAAATAAGTATTGCTACTTTATTATGAGAAAATATTTTGTCCTTTTTCAGTACAAAATATTTTTGAACTACTCGAATATAAAAACTCATTATCTAACTTCACAAAGAGTGCTTGTTTAAACTGGAGAAAAAAGTTCATATTAAGTTGATTGTTTCCGGTATGTAAATGTCTATCGTGAGAGTGAAACATGAGCATAACCGTTACATTCAGACGACAAAAATAGAATGAAATATTTTCTCTTTTGTAATAAAAAATAACAGGACAGTCTTAAACTTAAAATAATCCTAAAAACATAATTTAAATTTCCTATTTGAATTTTTTTCACAAGGAAAAATGAAATCGTATTTAAATGTCTAGTTTAGTTCTTATATCTCTGAAATAAAAACTGTTGCAGAGTTGATAGTAATGTTTACGATCGTGTCAATCTTATGTTTTAACGTTATATACAAGTGCGGTGTTCGAGAAGGTATAGAAATTTTTAGCTTTATTCTATCGTTGATTATCGGTTGTGGCAGATATGATGAATGTCAGTTGTTTTTTGATTTTATGTTCTATCACTGCATCTGTGAACAGTGGCGTAAATAGGGGGGGGGGGGGGCATCCCCCCCCCCCCCACCTGCTTCCGAAAACTAATAGGAAAAAGGTGTTTGCGCCCCCCCTGCTTCTAGAAAGTTCACTTTTTTTGACCATTGAAATAGAAAAACTAGGCTTACGCCCCCACCTACACCCTCCCCCCCTGCTCTGACACCTGACTTACGCCCCTGTCTGTGAAACGAGTATTGGAGAAAGAATAGTCGCGTCTGATTAATTTCCGACATACTCCAATAGGATGCTATATTTAGAGTGAAGCACCTGGGCTTAAAAGAACATCATACGAGAATATTTTAGCTTCGAATACGGTCTATTGTGAAAACTATAGCAATTTATGAGCTCTCTATTTCTATTGTGGCTGGTAAAAACATTTTGTTTCATTGGTAAAGTCAACTATTTTAGATTTCATACAATAATAAATATTAGTCAGTCAAAATAAAGGATTTCAAGGTTGATTATACATAAAAATTCTACACACACCTTGAAAAGAATCATTCAAAAGCAAAAGAACGAAAAAAAAACTTTATAATAATACTTAACGGTGAATTATCTTTTATCATATTTATTTTTAGTTATAGAAATTATCCACACACATATATATATATAATCTTCCTAAGCATATCTGAAAACATTGTTATATATTTTAAAAAGTAAAAAATAAAAAAAAATATTTGAGTTAATTTTCTTTATTTGGACGTTTTTTACTAAGTTTTTGTTTATAACTTAGTGAACATTGAATATTTTTTCGACTTGTTAAATAATCTTCTACTTTATAATCAAATAATTTAAAATCATCTTTATAAATATATTTTAATTTACAAATTGTTTGATTAGTTAAATTTGAATATAAAGATTTATAATTTTCTTTTGTTTTTCCCGTTTTAAAATAACTTTTTTGATTCCAATCATTTCTATTTAATCCAAGTTGTTCGATTAATTTCATAAGATCTTCTTCCATTGTTTCATATTTTCCAATAAAATTATATTTAAATAAACAAACTTGACATAATTTCGAATAAGGTTGCCAATGAACATCACTAAATGTTGAACTAGACATAAGATATTCAATAAAATGTTCAAATGTTGGAATTATTTTTTGACAAGGTTCACTTTTTAATTTTGATAAACCTTTTGTCTTTCGATAAGCCATTCGTTGATCATCTGTTAAATAAAATTGAGCATATTTTCGACAAATTGTTCGACGAAGACTATCATATAATGAAAATGGAGGATTTGTAAGTGGAGTTATTTTATCCGTATATGCTGATGCTAAACGTTCAAGTGGATGACGAACAAACATCACACGAGTAAATTTGGATGAAAAGATTATTGATGGATTAGCTAATGTACGAAGACGAATTAAAGGAAGAGCTTTATTTTGATACATTGACCATAAATCAATTGTTGATAAATTGGGTTTATTTATTACCATTATATATGATAAAAATGAATTAAGAAGAATTGATGGATCATTTATCGATTTATAAGAAATATTCTAAATAAATAGAATTTATATTAAAAAGAATATGTTTAGTCTTACATTAGTTGATTGATAAAGTATTCGCTTAAAATAATCGGCATTAATCATATCGGAAGACTTTTTAAAATTTGAATTTGTATTAAAATTGAATATATTTGATGAAGAATAATTTGTTATTAATGGTATTAGATCATCACGTATATGAAGATAAGTCATAAATGTTAATAAAGTTCGTGTTGCTACTTTTGGAACTGAACAATAAAATAATGAATGTGATCGAAGAACATAACCGAGATAATTTAACATTTTATCATTACGAATAATATTTGAAAGACTTTGACGAGATGGTCTTTTCATACTTGCACATTTATCATCAATAGATCTATTACGATAGATTGATACAATTGGTAATGAAAGACTTGATATTTCACCATTACTTATTAGATTTGTAGATACCGATTGTTGAACATGTAATGGAATTTCACGAATTTGTTTACCTAGAAAATTATCGATGGTATTAAATAAATGATCTCATTGATAGTCTTATTTACCTAGATTATAACTACATGATATTAATATTATAATTCCAATAAGATAAGATAGATATCGAAAAAGTTTTTTTCGCGTAAAAAGATGCTTACAATAATTCATAATTGACTTTAAAAGAAATTCTTTTTTTTTTATTGTTACAAAAGAACTTTTTCTTTCATTTTTTAAGAAAAAATTTTTTTTTGCTTTTTTTTCTTTTCTACTGTCACATCAAGAACGCAAGAATGACGCACTAAATTCTCATTAAAATGAATTCTAACAAGAAAAAATAAAAGTGAAAATATACAACCGGCAAGTCTTGTAAAATGTATTTTTTACTTAATTAAAGATAAATAAGTACATTATACAAACTCGGCAATACTATTTATTTAAAAAAATGTTTATTTCAAAAAGAAATCATTCACATTCATGAATTCTAGAATAATTCGATTTTCTTCCAAAGAATATTTATTATTTTAATTAAAATTAAATGACTTCGTTGAGAAAGAAAAATAATATATATATTACAGATTATAGGAAATATTATGGAAAGTTCTTTAGTTTATAAAGAAAAAAAATTCTTTTTTTCTTTTCAAATTCAATTTATTTTATGATTATTTTTAATTGTTCATGAAATCTTTTTATGACATTATGTCAATAGTTTCCTATAGACGAGTAGCATAATTATGTTTTATTTATAGAAGCATTTGTCAGTCTATAGCTATGCATTATTATTCCGATTTCACATATCAATCAATATGTTAATAATAGTAACAAGAATGAAATATGAAGTAAATTCCTAAAATATAATAAATTTGATTAAACTCTGGATGTATTAATTGTTTGTGATCACATAATAAGTTAATCTCATAATCACGATTATGAAGAAGTTAGTTTTACGGTTTGCTAAGATCATATCTCAATATGATTTTCACAAATGTCTCATTTCCAATCAGATATTATATATAATGAAAGAAAACTGCAAGAGAATTATTATGCGATTGTATTTTAATAGATTTACTTACAACTAATGGTATCAAATCAAGAAATCAGAGCAGTACTCGATCATAAAAAAATTTATTTTTTAATATTTCTAAGGAACATTATCCAAAAAAATTTCTATAACTGCTAAAGTCCACTGACTGAAAAGTTTTATGGATCTACATTTAATCTTTTATATTGATTCTTTATATGTGAATTATACTGATTTTATAAAATTGTTAGGTTCTGTGTTATGATTAGTAATTTTTTATTGGTAGATGTACTTTTCATTACATTCGATATCTAATCATAATCTACAACGCGTTTATACAAGTAAAGAAATATTCTATACGTGTATTTATTTAAGCATATACAATAAATTGTAAAATTATTTCTGTAAATATTTTGTTCAGAGATATAGAGCGGGTTGATACGAAATTGAAATAGATGAATAATAGTCTTATTAGAAGAGAGCTGATAGTTATAGTATAAACTCTATCACATTCAAAACTCATTGAAACTTTTAATTTTTTAAACTATATTCTCTATACTGATTTATTTTTTCTAAATACTAAATATATTTGAAAATGTGAATTAGATAACTATCAATAGAATTATTAAAAGAATTTGTTGTGAAAGAACTTAATTTTAATTGAATATAACAAAGATTTTGTCATTATATCTTGCCATGTGGTGATGAAATGATGAGAGACACAAATAAGTTATACCTCGTAGTCGACATATTAACAAATTATATTTAATATTATTAAAAAAAAAGATGATAATATACAAACTGAATATTAAGTTTGTTTTCAAAAAAAAAAATAGAAAAACTAAATAAATCTAATGATGGATTATTATTGTAAGTTTGATGCCGTAATGAGAAAGAGACCTGTCAAGTGCTTTTTTATATACACTTAGTTAAAAGAACTTTATACCAAATTTTTTACATTTACACCAATTTCTACTATAGTATTTCAAACAACATAAGGTATCAATAACAAAGCTTTCTTACTATGTTGTTAATTAGCAATTATATTCGACATAAGATATTCTATACTTCTGAATTCTTGAGGGTCGATGAATGTGAGTTTGTCTTTTCTCTTACTCATACCCACATATACCTTCGTTTTCTAAGTTCAATGAACATAGTTTATTCACATTCGAAAGAGACCTAATAAATATCTCTTAATCTGTATTAACCAGAAGAATGTACTTCAGAGCATTCGTACTCTTTCAATTTATTCAATTTTTATTTTTTCCTCTTAGCTGTTTTCAATCGTATGTTCACGCATCTTACTTTATTTCTTACATTTTTCGTCGGTTGTATCAGAGAAAAGAAGCAAAATAAACGGTTTCACGTTTCTAATTTCTTTCTCATGTACAACTATGGAAGCACAGAAACAAAAAAAAATGGACGTAAGTAGAAAAAACGAAACGCATTGTTTTTGCTCTGCTTCTCTTATAAAAATACGCAATGGCGTCGTATTATAAACTTGCAACTTCTAAAAAATGGAAATTTCTCAGTGTTCAATGCACCATTATATGGTATTGAGGAAAACACTATTGTTAATGTTAGGACAGCTAGTATAAAAATGATCAAATCTTTACTTGCTTTCTCATTTTATAAAGAATAATCTTTGATAGCATATTAAGAAAAGGTAAGCTAAAAGAAAATCCTTTTTCTTACTGATATATCGCGTACACAATAAATTGATAGATTTCAACTCTCATTATCCATATTGAGTATGAATTAAAGTGAAGGAAAGAATAGTTTTGAATTGAAAATAGACATGTACATTCATACCCTCACTATTATATAATTTTTATTTTATTATTGTAGATATAAAAATTTTAGAGTGTTATTATAGTTAATAGAAGATATAAAATGGCAAGAAATGTAAGTAATGGAATTGAGATATTACCATAAAGAAAGATTTTTCTTGTTTAATATTGTTGTAGTATAAAACAGAAATGACTCTTGAGGAACACAAACGAAAAATTTTTATTCAGAGTATAAGTCCTGAAACGACAAAACGATCATTACAGGATTATTTTTCTTCATATCCAATTGATTGGTGTGCAGTTCCGCGTGATGAAACAGGTAAGAAATGAAAAGACGCGAATAAAGGAAAATCTATTATTTCTTTTGTGAAGGTAAAAATAAAATGCATGGTATAGTCGTGTTTTTTACAAAAGAAAGTGTTGATGCTGTAATGGAAAAACGTGTCCATCGAATCGATGGCAAAGAAGTTTTCATTCATCGATCAGTTCCGTCGCAAACATCAGGGAAGGACAGTCTTGGAATTCAACAGTTGATTGTATCAAGTTTAAACAATCAATCATTAGTCGAATCAGAGCTTAAACAATACTTTGCTCCATATGGAACAATTGATGAAATGAAAATGGATGGGAAAAAATGGATTATTACGTTTGATGAGTAAGTACTAAAATACCAAAAGTTTTTTAAATTTATGTTGATTTTGATTCAGTTATGATTCAGTCGACAAAATCCTGTTAGATTCTCCACACCAAATTAAATCAATTGATGTTAGTGTTGAGAAAAATAATCGAGATATGCAACATAGACAGTCGTTTGCTCCAGAACCGACGTTCAATACTCAAAATAACAATAATACTGGCGTAGTACCGCAAAAATCGAATCTGAAACAAGTGACGATGAGTATGTGTACACATTTTTTTAAAAATCAAAATGTCTTTCTTTTTTTCCCTTAGACGAACGAGTCGCATGTCTTAATTTGCCTGAAAAACGGTATCGTATTCGTATTACGAATTTACCAAACAATATAGATGCTGAAACTTTATCCGAAGCATTGGACTGGGATATTTGTGATATTGTGATGATTCCATCCGTCGGTGATCGAACTTCATCAGCGCAATGTTGGCTGAAAAATCCCAATAATAAAGGAGAAGTGGACCATTTCATTCAACGTTGGAACGGAAAACCTTTTAAGGGATTTACTATTGAATGCAATAAAGAAGAAGATGAATTAGAATTATGTAATAAATTTCAATTTGGTCAGTGCCAAAAAACTAGTACCAACTGTGATTGGGAGCATATAATTTGTACGGCAAATGGTGCTTGTGCATCGACTTGTCCTTATGGCCATTCATCCGGCATGAAGTCACAAGATACTTCTCGGAGTGGTAAGTTAAATTGTCACTTTAATCGTATTTTAATTTGACGACAGCTATAGAGGAAAATCTCTTCTTCTTTTCATTGGATATACCAACGACGAACACTAACTATCGAGTAAAACTCAGTGGTTTTAGAACACAAGTAACACCCAAAAATCTTGCTCAACGATTTGGTTCTCATAATTATTATGTCGATTCTAACCATGATCGCGTTGGATACATAGTCAAAATCCAGACTATGAAGTATGCCAGACAATTGATGGCCAAATGGCATAATAAAAATATAGATGATCAAAACATTACCTGTCAATTGGAGCTTAACCCAATATCGTCTGCTCATCGTAACATCTGTCGCTCCGAGGCAGGTTCAATTAATGAAGAACGAAAACGAAACCGTTCTCGTAGTCGCCCACGCGATGCTCAAAGTGTTTATAGCATCCAAGATACATCTGATCTTGGAGATCCAGATAATACCAATTCAATGATGATTGACAATCGAGAATTCGATAGAGATATTCGTATTAGTGCCAAAGCTATCAGAGATGTTACATCAAACATTGAAATGAAATGTAAGTTTCAATTCTTCAAAAATTAAATAATATTCTCAAATGATTTCTTCTCTTACAGATAAATTACGTAGTGATATAGCAACAGATAAATTACCTAGCGATGTACCAACAGATAAATGGGAAGTAACAAAAAAAGCACCGAACAGTGATGAAAAGGTATTATTAATACGTAGTAAAGCGGATCGAAAAGAGCTCGCCGTGATTAAGACTTATCCAAAGGAATTTCTAAATAATTTTCAACATGAAATAACAATTATGAAAGATTTGAAAGGTAACGAAAAGTAGTTAAAAACAACATTCATGTTAATCATTTCTTTTGTAGATGTCAAAGGTGTATGTCAATTGATTGAACCAGAAAATTTATCGAACAATCTCGTTCAACGATGTATTAATAGTGATAGTTTATGGATGGTTATGAAACGAGCTCCTGGTTGTTCATTGAAAGAATTCATTGAACAAACATGTCAAGGTCCTCTTGATATTTTATCAGCGATTCAACTAACTCTAAATCTAATGCAAATTATACAACAGGTGCATAAAAAAGGATTATTTCATTTGAATTTATCGCCAGAAAATATTATGATCGAACAGAATTTAAGAGTTTCATATAATCGAGCTCAACTAACTATATTGAATTTCAATCAAGCTACGATAGTGTCAGACAGAACATATATACCGGTTACAACATCAGCACAGAAATGGTATCATGCACGACAAATAGATGATAAAGGATTGAGTTCAACTATCGATCCATCTACAATCTGTGCGATTCTTTTCTGGTTACTGACACGAATCGGTCCTCAACACAGTACTGATGCACTTCCCCATCAACAAGCACGTGAACAATTTGATGACATGATCAAAAGTACCGTCAAGTTCGTAGGTATGTAACCAACTCGTTCCACATAGTAAAGATATTTTAGACTATCACATAATGTTTTTTTCTATTATTTAGACATGAGTCAACAAATCGCACTGAAAGAACAATTAAAAATGTATTTAATGGATACATTTGATCGTGCTTTCGGCTATCCATACCATCATCCATGGACGATCAACGATCTTGAATGTCGATTAAAGTCAATTCTTCAATTACTGACACCAATCGAACCTAAGCTAGATACCACTGACGGTATTTTTCAAGAATTGATATCGATCTCGGATGTTGTATCAATCCCACCTATTGCAACCGGTAGTATTCAACGTGATGCCTTTGCAAAAGCATCAGGAGCATTCTATCAGGCAAAGAAACATTTCTTGGACAATAGACAAAATCAATATGAATGGTCTGATGGACATTGCATATGGGTTCATAATCCACATAGTTCAATCAATGAACGTGATAATGATGATGTGCTTACGTATCATTTAACTCGGGGAAGAACGACCACATCTTATTCTGTGATTATCACGTGTTTAGCAAGTTGTAGCGAAGAAGGAAGTGTAATGACATTGTCTATTGGTAGCGATGTCAATGGAAAAACGATTCGAATGCCTATTGGCCAATATTCCACAGCTCAAGATTATATAGCAGATGTACAGGAAAAGTTTAAGGCAGAATTAAGGAATCTACTCTTAGCCATTTATAATGAACGAAAAACAAGTAACGTTCATCTTTTGATTAGCTGATCCTTTTCTGAAAGAAGCAATATTAGTTTGGATAGTAAACTGTTTAGGCAGATCATATAATGTTTCTGAACGGTTGCCAGTACATATAATAACTATAACAAAACACTTCAAGGTTTTTAGAAAATCTCTGCAAAATGTGTCGGGTTGAAGTTTATGTAATAAAAATTTTGATGGAAGAATACACAGTACTATAAAGTTAATTAGCAGATACAGATGTGTAAGTTTAGCACATTTTATGTCCTTGCCAGCGAGAACTTTTTCCTCCATATTTTGTCCGACCCTGCAAATCCTCATTTACACATTACCTTGTCTCATTCCACTATATCATACCCTTTAGAAGCCGTAATGAATTAAAAGTCTTCACACAAGTCTTATTCGACTCAGTCATAGATTTGTGATTCGATCAGCAACATGACCACGAGCAAATATATTCATTTTCATCTGTTATCTATTCTGCGTTGAATAATCTTCTCTGAAAAACATACGTCTGTCTATTTCTATATTAACGATCTATTTTCTATTGAATGAAAAATAATTTTATTTAGTTTTTTCTTTAAATCTTATTTTTTTTCGGAAATTTTCGATCATTTTCAACCATTTACAATACATACTAACATATGTTACAACAGATTTTATAAAAAATATAACCACAAACATAAACATCATAACCATATACATCAAAACCCAATACATCATAACTATATACATCATAAACGTTGTGTTCTCTCAACCCACAACAAAAGTTTCAAAATATAAATAGTCAAAATTATATTTTATTCAATTAATTCAAATTTCAAGATATATACAATTTCATACATCACTATATAAGAAAAAGTAGAATTAAACAACTTGAGTGACTACATATATACTAACACTGGTTGTGAATTGAGAAAACAATGTTTATGATTATGTTGTTTATGGTTGTGGTTATGTTTTTTGTAAAACGTGTTGTAACATATGTTAGTGTGAATTGTAAATGTTTGAAAATTATCGAAAAAGATCGAAAATTTCCGAAAAAATAAGTTTTAAAGAAGAAACTGCATAAAATTATTTTTCATTCAATTAATTCAAATCTCAGGATTATTGATATTTTCATCTATTTTTCAGCTCACCGGCACATATATTCAAATTTTGCTTATATATTTAAAGCTAGAATTTCAGAATAAGATCCAGCTTACAAAACAAGTAATGCTCGTCGAGAAGAGCCGCTTCACCTTCAACTGATTTTAGATGATCAGGGTGTGGGTGTGAGTGTGGGTGCAATGTAGAGAGACGATCAGTACCCACATCCACACTCTCACTCACACATACCCCAGACCCACCCCTACCCGCCTGGGCCAGTTAAGCGCAAGATATACCTTAATTTGTGTTTAACGTTGTTACGTATCATGACCAACGCTACTATTCGAGTGCAGATCTAATTCAACACATGTATTCTTTCTAGAAACACTTTCGACAACCGAACAACACTTTGAGATAACCACACGTTGCACAAAGCACGTGCGACTCGTAAAGGTAAATTCAATATAATGAAGAAAGCATGAAAGAGTATTCGTTGTATCATTTATTAGTACCAATCACCAATTAAATGCACTACCGTAAAACTTGGCTCCAGCTGTTGCAGCGAGCTTATTGGTCTTAGCCTTCGTTATGATGATGAAAGCTTGGCCGACCAAGGTAGGTATATAATACTATTGTTTTTTTAAAGCATTACCTAAAAGAAGTATGAAAATTTGGACTGTTTCTCTCACAAACGTGATGAACCTCTTTGCCAACTCTTTTTTCGTCATATATTGCGAGAGATATACCCAGTGAAAGGTATTGATTCAAATATTACGATTAATTTTAATTATAGGCGAAATAATCCATTTATTTTGGTAAAATAGTTTTCAGTTTTTAAAATAATTGGATTAAAATTGATTTCAATTTACTACTCGCATCCAGAATAATCCTTTTTTCAAGATTATCATTCAGAAACTAACTCCTGACCGAATTTTAATTGAAAACTAATGATAATCTGAGATCTCATAAAATTTGATCAAAGATTTTTAATCGATTTTAATTTGAATGACGATAAAAATGGATTTTTCTCGAGTTTCACTTGTCAAATTCAATTTTATCTTCTCATCATTTGTTCAGACTCCTCGGCGCAATAAATAGTGAGTACGATATTAGATTAAGTGCTGAGAGATATGACATCAATTGACAATTAATCATTTAAAGGAAAATATTGTCAAATTAGGTTGAAATAAACCCTTTGAGTGATTATAATCAATTTCAATCGGTAAAAATTTTCACTGTATGAGTCATTTTTTGTCTACGTTTAGGAAATACATCATTACAAAGCATAACTTTCAAACGGAACATTAATACTTATGGTGGTGCACTCGATATAAAACTTCCTGAAAATATCGACTTAGAGATTACTCCATACAGAGGTTCGTTTGATTGTATCTCAAAAGTATTATCAATCAATGATAAACTAATTTATCTCGTCATGTCAAACGCATTGGGTAAATCTGTTGTGCCATTGATACATAAACATCGATGTATTGAGCATATCTATATACTTCAAAATACAGAAGACCAGCAAGAAGTTGATTGGATAAAAGACTATTCGAAGATTTGTGGTAATGGAACTTCCATCGACCTACTGTTAAAATTAATCAAACAAGACATTGGCTCAGTCATGCAACGCCCCTCACGCTGGTCAAGATCAAAAACATTAATGACTGAATTATGTTTTCAAACTTCTCAAAATACTCTTTCGTTATCGATGGAAGATGCCACCAAAGAAGACGTGAGCATGTTTCGCATTGTCACGCTATTTTTCGGTACTCGTCCGCTATTTACTCAATCTTCCAACCAAATTCAAATCGACGAATACAGCAATATTAATGAATGCATTCAATCGATTGAAGCTAAAACTTTAATTACTATTTTCATAGTGATACTCACAGATGGATCCGAGGATTTGCACTCATTCCTTGAACTGGATTCAATTTATGCAATTTATATTGTTCCGAAAGATAACTATAACCAACAAATTGAAACAATGTCAAAACATTCCAAAGTCAGTGGTGTGTTTTGTCTGGACGAAGATCTACTCGAACAGCTTACAACGGATATTTGTTTTTATCGGCATATGCAAGTTCATACACCTGTGATAAATATCTCTGACATTGGATCCAATATTATCGACAGCCTTATTAAACAACATACAAACTTTCTTTTTTTCCAATTCTTTAGTGACATACTTCCACATATACCGGTTGAATCGACTGAAAGTTCTGAGAGTAGTACTGATACTATCAATAATTTATTTTTTCTTCTAGCCGATGCAAATGTAACAATCAATAATCTTTTTAGTCGCTTTGATCGTTCTACATTGCAGGCGTCCGTACCCCAGCTCAAAAAAATAAATCAGTGTATAGCATCGTTCTCAACAACGACTGATATGTCCCCGGTTACAGTCTATCGAGCTCAATTAGTATCAAAGAAGGATTTGGAAACTATACGAAACACTTCAAATATTCTTTTGTCGATACAAACATTTATTTTGGCCTCACGCTCTTTACGCTTCGTAACTGATTTATGTCGTCGAGCCATTGACAGTCAACTTATCGTGATTCTCTTTGAATTTAATATATCTGAAAATACACTCAGAGCAAACTTAAATTCAGATACAGTTATTCTTAGTTTAGGTGCCCTTTTTCGATTAGTTTGCACCGATGTCGCCCCCGACGGGGTTTTACATGTTCAGCTTGAATCTGCTGAGGAATTCATGCATGGTATAAAAGAACAATTACAGTACAAGATCGGTGGACGACTTGCCTGGCTAACATTCGGTAATTATTTGGCTTATCGAAAGCAGTTCAGTGCTGCCAAAGAGTACTGTTATTATCTGTTACATGTGCTTCCAGACAATCATTCAAGTCGTGCATCGATCTACAATAATATAGGTTTAATCTGCTTAGCAATGGACGATGATCAAGAAGCTTTCGACTGGTTCAAGAAGGCAACTTCATCAAATTTTTCAGTTTTAACAAAAGATCTTGGTGAAGGAATATCAACAGCTACAGACTTACTGTTACCTCAAGATTCTCTTACCAGCCCAACAGTATTATTGAGCAAAATGGCCGAAATTAGCGATCGTTTGGGAAATCAAACGACAGCCCTTGACTTATATCGACAAGTACTTGAGATAACCACTGATGTGAATTTACAGGAACTTTATCAAGAGAAAATTACAGCTCTTTTATTTGTTGATGACAATTATTAAGCTTTAACAAATCATTTCCTAATGTTCTTTATCTTTTCTTTGATTTTAGATTTCACTAAATTATTCAATTCATTATCTGATCTATTGAAATATTTGCCGAGAATATAAATTATGTCATGAAGTACACAAGTCAGCCATGTATCGCTCCAAACTTGATGTGTATTGTTTATCATGATGAAAAGCTACCCAGACATTATAGACGTCAACTGAAGTTGAGCGTACAACAAAAATTTGAATATACTCGTACTTTTATCGATACCTTTAGTTTGGCAGATTATCTCAATCGTACATTTATTGTGAACAAATTAGTTGTTATTGTGAGTGGAGATGAAGCTAAATTCTTATGTGAAAATATAGAACATGAAAAAGAATTTCTGAAAGATCCACTTGTATATGAATTACAATTTGACAAGAAACCGTTAAAATCACAATTATTGGGTGATAAAAAATTCCAATCTGTTGATGAATTATTCCAAAAGATTGATAATGATATTACAAAATTCGTTACGATCGAAAGTCAATGTGATCGTACTGATGATGACAGTAATGAGTTAGATCTACAACAAGAAATATTTCCGTTTGGCATTTACGATTCTTTTAGAAAACAACAATCATTTTGTTATTTAAGTAAAGAAGAACTCAAATTCAACTTATTTCAGTCATTCATTGAAGTTCTCTTAAGGATTAATATTGATGAGAAAAAGGCGCTGGAACAAATGTGGACTAGTTGTCGTGTAGCTGCGGTTCAGCACAATGACTACGAATGCATACGAAAAATTGATAAATGGAACCAAGAGTACGATTCAGCAGCTCCTGTTAAATTATATACTAAAAGTTCATCTTTTTTTCGAATGATTAATAAGGCATTTCGAGTAGAAGATATCGAAAAAATCTTTGATTTTCAACCTTACATAGCTCATATCCATCAACAACTAACTAATCTTCGTACTGAACAACGATCTCAAATAAATTTCCCGCAAAGTGTACTTTATCGAGGCAAAAAATTACCACCGAGCGTATTACAACAATTAAAGGATAACGAGAATAAATTTATATCTATGAATGGTTTTCTTTCCACGACAACAAGTACTAAAGTTGCTGATATGTTCGCAGGTACCGATACAAATAGAGAAGGTTATCAGTCAGCCGTGTTCGAGATGCATATTGATGAAACAGTTGATACCAAAAGGCCATATGCGGATATTTCGAACGTAAGTACAATTTCACACGAACAAGAAGTTCTCTTTTTTATGGGATTCGTTTGGCGTATTGAAGCAGTGGACGAAGGATTCAATAAAGAATGGAGAGTTAAACTACGATTATCTACTGATATGGATTCGGATCTTACGAAGCGTTTCGATGAGTTAAACGATAAATGTACGTTCTTTGAATTGGGGAAGATTTTGTACGAACTCGGTGAATATAAAAATGCAATTACCTTTTACCAACGCATGCTGGATCCAAGTACAAAACTAACAGACAAAACTCGTGCTGATGTTCATCTTCACATTGCTATATCAGCATTTGAAGATGGATCGTACTCACAAGCACTCGAACATCTTAAAGAAGCAGAATGCTTTATCTCAAAATCAGTTCCGTCAGATGATGGTAAGGCAGATGAGCTTCGACCTTTCTTAGCCGAAGATGCATCTCTCTCATTGATGTGCATTTTAATGAACAAAGGTTTGGTTTATCAAAAGCAAAAAGATCCAGAACGTGCTGAACAATCGTTTAATGAAGCTTTAGAAAAACATGGCTCAGATAAAGATAAAGCTCTAGTACACTATAATATCGGTGTGTTTCAATTTGGACAAGGAAAGTACGAAAATGCACGCAGTCATTTTTACGACGCATTTTCTTTAACTACATGTCAAACTTTGAAGATCGATATCAATCAAAGAATAGGAACTCTCGATCAAATATTATCTATTCATTAAGTCAATACTAGAGAACGTATCAACAATTAGATGTAGCTTTTCTGTATCATACTCGTTCCTACGAGTGACTTCTTCAGTCTATCAAGTATTTTATTTTTTTTCGACACTGACTATATCTAAATCAAAACATTAAAATGAACCATTGCACTCATTCCGTTTTCCTATTTTTTCTTATATGAATAAGTATACTTCTGAGGATGTGAGTGTAAGTGTGAGAGTGTGGGTGTGGGTGTGGGTGTGGGTGTGGGTGTGGGTGTGGGTGTGGGTGTGGGTGGTATTCATGTCTTAATGTGAGTCACATATACATGCACACCCACTTTTACCTTACACTGTATGCAAACATAAATTTAGTTCATTTTATCAGTGATTAATCGGCGTTGAATATCATCTGAACAGAGTCTACTAATCTAATGATATCGAATGGACCTTTTTTGGGGTTCGATAGAGTATCAATTTTTTACAGTGAACGAGAACACAATATCCATGTCTATTTAATATTATTTTATATCGCTAAAACAGTTTTAAAAAAAGCGTTGTGTAAAGTTGTTATGCCCATTCTGTCGTATTGCAGTTGATATCATTCTTTGTCACTTTTTTTCAAGATATTATAACAACCTCGTGCGATATCTGTGACATAAAGTAAATATCAACTCATTCAATGATAAGAAAAAGAACAGTATATATCATACAACCAACATATAAATCTACATAACACACATTTTAGTAACAATCTACAATGTCAAATCAAATTGTTGTCACTTTTCTTACGTTACCGGTAGAACTTGTCTACCGAATTCTGGACCATCAATCGGATTTTACAATTCTATGTTCAATGAGAAACGTGTGTCAACGATTCAACAGTATCGTAGATACGCACTATCGATATCAGGTAGGCTTTTTTTCTATTATAACAGTCTAGTTTATATCTTCTGACTATTAAATTACTTTTCATTCCTACAATCTCTATTTAAGTTGAATAATACTTCAATAAGATATATATGTGAATACACTATTTGTCATTCAAACAAAGTTATATCTCTCAAAAATTCACTTCTGTACTATGACAAGCAGAAAAAAATAATTTCTGTCTTTATTCTTTTTTCTCAGTCTCATACAAATATTTCACATGTAAAAGCAGGTATGATGCAATAAACATACGATATTTAAATAAGAACACAAAAAATTAAAAAAGCTCTTATATTTCTTTTTTTGTATGTTTCTAAATATTTTTTTCATATGATTTCGATAATAAAATAACATCCTGCAAATTTTCTTGAGAAATATCTTCGACTAATGCTCTCGTGAGAGAATGTGCGATTGTGGACAGAGGTGACGATGGATATGGATAGAGAGACGAGTGACTTAGGATAATATCCACACTCATACTATTAAGATGAACCATTTCGTTAACAAATATTATCTCTAACGCATAGATTTATTCAGTATAATTCCTCCCAAACGCATTTCATCTGAAGCACACTTTCTCAAGTACAACACTTCGAGGATAACTCATTACGAGATTGAAAAGTCGAGGACAATTTAAAAGCGAGACTCCGTATAGGTTGTTTTAATATGTATGCGTCTTCTACTCAGAATGGATCTAGCATTATGAAATGAATTGTTTTACGTTTCACTTTTTATAAGCCCATGTTGCTTCATACACACAACCCGATACTGTCATCGAAATCAATCAGTACTCATACTCGTATAAATCATTCATATAAGTGAAGCCAAGTGCACTATATTACGCTTTGAAAACATAATCCAACGCTTCACAACTGTTTTAGAAAAAAATTAATTTACAAACTACTACTCATTTACTAGAAATCTGGGTTCTTTCTCAAACACTTAAAACATATGCCAACTGATAGATAAAAAACTGTCATCTATGTTTCATCGTCAGTATCCTCTTTTGAATCTAACTATTCACCCGATGATCTTGACCATTGTACAACATCTAAAAATCATAGAATTATTCAGATTCAGAACAACATTAATTTCGCTAATCTAATTCTATTCTGTTTCTTCATCTGTACTAGGTTTTTACCTACACTTTTTCATCTAGACACTTACAACACTATATTTTCCGAGATATTTTATCGGAAAGATTGGCACGCAATATCTGGCTAACGGATTACGACACAAAACAGTAAATTTAATTCTCTCCTAATTTATATCGCCTCTTTACCTCCGTTATTTTAACTAGACACTTACCTCACTATTTCTTGGATTTAATGAAATCAGTAACATTGGTGCACACCATTTGGGTGATATATTACGACATAACAGAGTAATTATCATTCTCTCTTCGTCTATACTATGTCTATATTTGTATCTTTCTCATCTAGACACTAAACATACTAGATCTCGAATATAATCAAATCGGAGATATTGGCGTACAACATTTGAGTGATGTATTACGACACAACACAGTAATTGCCATTCTCTCTTCATTTATACCTAGTCTTTACTTGCACTTTTCTACTTAGACACTCACTTCACTGAATCTCGAATATAATCAAATCGAATATGTTGGGGCGCAACATTTGAGTAATGCATTACGACATAATATGGTAATTTTCATTTCTTCTTCACCTATATCATGTTTTTATTTGCAATTTTTCTATCTAGGCGCTCACAACACTAAATCTACCACGTAATCAAATCGGAGATGTTGGAGCACAACATTTGAGTGATGCGTTACTACACAATACAGTAGTTTTCATTCTCTGTTCATTTATACTATATTTATACTTATATTTTTCCATCTAGACACTCACCACATTAAATCTCGAACATAACCAAATTGGAAATATTGGAGTACGACATTTGAGTGATGCATTACGACACAATACAGTAGTTTTCATTCTGTTCATTTGTACTATATGTATACTTTTATTTTTCCATGTAGACATTCACTACACTAAATTTGGAATATAATCAAACTGGAGATCTGGGGGCACAACATCTGAGTGATGCACTACGACATAACACAGTAATTCTCGTTCTGTTCTCAATATGCCATATTTATCTGCAGTTTTCCATCTAGACGCTCACCACACTAGATCTCATAGGATGTCGAATTAGAGATGTTGGAGCACAACATTTGATTGATGCATTACGACACAATACAGTATTTCCTATTCTCTCCTCATCTATGCCATATTTTTACCTACATTTTTTTTATTTAGACACTTACCATGATAGATCTCCTAGGTAATGGAATAACAAGCGACGCGATAATTGAAATTTATAATTTTGTTAATCGCAACGAAAGTGCGAGGGAATCATAAATACTAGTATTAAATATATTTCGATGATAAACACATAGCTAGTATTGATTATATGCGCATATTTTTCTTTTATTGTAATTTTGACTGAAACATTAAATAAAACTGCTTGTTTTGATACTTAATATGTATCGAACCACAAAATGTTTTTTACAAGAATGTTAAACAATAAAATACTGTGTATTGAATAGTGTTCAAATAACAAGATCTTGACCAATGATTATAATGATTTGTAATGAAAAATTATTTGAAAAAGTGCAATGCGATTATCATTACAAAATATACTTTTACTTCAGCAAAAATAAAAACAACAAACTCTGACAAATTCATTATGTCTTTTAAAGGAAATTTTTGTTTTGTTTTGTTTTGATAAAATTTATTTATTTATTTATTATTTTGATAAACATTAAAATACTACATTTAAAAAAAAGAAAATAAATAAATAGAATAATTAGAAATATATAGAGAAAATTTTTTCTTTTGTATATAATGTACAACGTATATAACGACTAGAATATACATGACAATACAACAATTATTTAAATAAGATTTGGTTTTTGTATTATACGAGATCGACTATACGTATTACTTTGCGATTGAGATTGTGTTGGTCGATTAAGATCATTTAAATCAAAAAATTGAGCATCACGATCAGTTGGTGAACGAATTGAATCTATAGAAGAAGAAGAAAAAATATAATAATTTAGTTTTCAGTGTATCAAAAGTGGAAGTAAATATTAAAAGATCTTACCCATTGAAACACTCGACATTGACGAAGATAAATTCGCATTAAGACAAGCAGCTGCTGATGATGCTGAATAATGATGATGATGTCTAAATGTATGATGATGATGTAAAGATGTATGTCGTGTTCCACTGTTTCCTGATAAACCATTTCCAGTATTAATACCACTTTCAGATCCATCTTCATGTTCATCTAATGATGGTAAACATGTTTCAACCATAGCTTCTAAACAATTAACAAATAATTCGACATTATCTGGATTTTGTCTTGAAACAGTAAATGGTCCAGCAAAACGCCATAAACCTCCAAAACCACATGATTGTAAATAACTAAGTTGTTGTTGTTGTTGACTAGCATCATCACCAGCTGAACAAGCAATCATTTGATAGATTATTGATTGTACTGATGCTAAAATTGATTCATCATGTGATAATGAAAGTACAGAATTGATTTTTGCATCTAATAAATTATGTATAACTGGAAATACTTTTGGAAAAACAATACTTGATTCCGATAAATATTCATAAATAATTCTCATTTCATTTTCATCAGATGTATTACGTACAAGTGTTGCTAATACTGTTAATAATAATGCTTGGGTTGATGTATCTGTTATAACATCAGGATCTAATAATAGATTTGTTTCACTAGTTGTCTTTAAAAAAAATAAAATAGATGAATATTTAGATTTAATAAAAACAAGTAACGCTCCTCCGAGAACTCGCTTAGCTTTTTCTCGTAAAAATGTATTTTCTTCACATTTACCGGAGAAACAAACGGAAACCGTGAAAAATCAGTTTTCGATATTTTTTTGACCTTTCACCCACACCCACTCACCCCTAACCGTGGCCACCCAACTGACCCCAGATTCGAACTCCCCGCATCGAAATACATCAAGAAATGTCTTTTCCTAAAAGTTGATTTTCAATGTTTTTTTGACCCTGCGGACAGACAAGCAAGCAAACGATTTATTCTTAGTGGACTCTTCTCTATGAGAAAGAGAATAAAAAAATATATGTTATTTACTTGTGATGTTTGTTGAGTTTCAGGTGCTGTTTGTTGTGTAACAGCAATTGTTGGTACAACTTGTTTAACTTGTTGTAATTGAACAAGTGTTGATGCTGGTTTTGTAAGTATCCGTGGTACAGCATGTTCAATATCAAATGAATGCCAATGACGTGCATGTGATGGTACTGATAATAATCGAGTACCACTAGCAGTTAATAATCCTCCAACTTTACGTGTCTTATCAGCATAGGATGCATCCCATGATTTTTGACGACGAGGAAATATACCTTGATGAACAGTAAGTAATAATGAATTCGTTGATGGATTTGTTAAAACAGATGCTGATGAATTTGATGAAGTATTTGTATTAATAACATTAAAATCAGCAATTGATGTACTTGAATGTGATTGTGGTATTTGTGATGATGGATGAATTGATGATGTTGATGGATAATTTAATGGTGAAATATTTGTTGAATTTGAATTTGAATTTGTTGTTGATGGTACAATAACCGGTCGATTTTTAACTGGACATCGACTACGAACTTCTTCAACAACACTAACTAATGCAGCTAAATATGGTATTGATGTAGATGTTACTTTAAATTTATCATGAGATTCAGATTTAGCAACAATACTAAGAAGAGTTGAAAGAACACGTGTTGTTCGTACAACAGTCGATTGAACTGGATGACGAAATCCTTTGATAAGATGTCCAACAAGTGCAAAATTAAAATTTGATTTAAATGATAAACCCATACTAGCATCTAATTGTTTAAATTGCCATTCTAATGGTTCACGTGCATCCATCATAATTCTTTCTAATGTTTGTTGTTGATGTGTACTTGTATTTTCAAATAAACTTAACATATGATCAAGTGTATGAAGATTTTGTTCTAATAAAGCTAAACCAGATGCATATAATTGTGTTTCTTCTAATTGAAGAATTGATAATGCAATCCAAAACATAAATTTATGTATTTTTGATTCCGGCGATAATAATGGTAATAAACGTGTTAAACACATTATTATTGAATCAATTAAATCAATATCAGAAAATGATTCAAGTGCTTTAACAAGTATACGTAATAATGCTTTGATTTCACCATCACTCGTTGTTTTTGATATACAACCATAGACAATACTTTGAGAAAAATAAAATAAATAAAAAATTTTTTTATGAATGAAAAAAAAACTTACATAGCTCTTGGTTGTAAAGCCGGATTGAATTGAAAAGCAAAACGTTTAGCTAATTCTTGCCATTGTGCTAACCATTCACAACCAGGTATATCATTCATACAAGCTTCCATTAATTCTAATAAAGTATCTGTTATTGTTTCAAGTGATATTAAACTCATTCTTTCCTGTTGTTCAATTGTTGGTGAATATGCATTTGATATTGTCATTGAACGTTCTAATGACATTTGATTTTGTTGTTTATCTGATGATGATAATAATTGATTTGAATGATGCTGTTGTTGTTGTTGTTGTCTTATAATACCTGTACGAAATGCAATTACACTTGCTGATTTAACTTTTGATAAACCAAATAAAGCATAAAATTTTGGTAAAGAAAATTCCGCCAACGATAAACGAAGTACACGTTGTGTCTCATCACTAAATTGTGGTTGTGAACATGTACATAATGAATGTAAAATATTTATAACAAGACCATGTGTTGATGCACGTAATGTTAATGGACCTGTACTAACAAGTAATGTAACAATATGAAATAAAAATGGTAAATGTGACGCAACATCAAGTGAATTATTAAATGAAAGCATTAATAAATATCTTAATAGAATAGCAATATCATCCCAAATTAAATGTTGTTCTAATGTTGGTGTTGGTGATAAACATGTTTTTTCAATTAAACGACAAAGACGTCCAATAACTTTGCGTGAAAATAATAATGCATTTGAACTAGCTAATGCAACAGCTGTATCAGCTAAAATTTCAGCTTGTAATGATCCCAAACCGCCAAGTACAGATCGTTTAATAAAACAATCTAAAACAATATCTAATAGATCACTAACTTGTCCAACATTTGACCATATTTTCGCTTGTATTGATGGATACATATCATCTTCTTCAATTGTTAATGTTATTAATTTATCAAGAATCATGGAGACTTTCATTCGTTTATTATCATCATTTTGTTTACAAAATCTTGTTAAATTCGGTAACCATTTTGTCATATATTCCAAACAAAGATGTTTTAATTCAATTGTTGAATTTCTAAAACCTTCAATACATTCTTCTAAAAATTCTAATGTTAAATGTGCTTCTTTTAATGCTAATTTTTCGGATATTGTTTTTATAAATATTGTATTATTTGATGGGATACAAAGACCGGATGATTCAAGTAATTGACCTTCAATACGTAAATCAAATGTTTGTGTTAATGCACATAAAAGATTATAAGCTGCTGAACGTAATGATGGATCAAGTGAACCTAAATTTAATAATGCAATGTTTAATAATGTTCCAGGAACATCTTTTGGACGAATTTTATTATGAATTTGAATTGAATCAGGTTGAGCAAGTTCCTTCAAAATATCAAAATATTTTATTTAATATAATTACAAGAAAAAAATCTTTACCCAACGTGTACGAATATGAATAATAGCTTGAACAATATTATCACAATCATTATGAATAAATGAAAGTGGACCAGTTTCATTGGCTATTGTTAATGTAAACTGATTATCATCAACAAGACAAACTTCTTCAATTTCCGATGCATAATAAACATCATTAAGTAAAACACTATGACCAAGAACTTTAGTTTTTTCACTTGATGTTACTTGTATAGCTTGTGGACCAACTTTAATTGCCACTTTTGTATCTTTATGTGATAATTTTAATGCATTATTAAATACACGAAGATCTTCTTCTAATGATAATGTATGTCCAGGTAATTTTTGTTGATCAAATTCAATATAATCATTTAAACGTGATATATGTTCAAGAAATATTAATTTTCTTGAACCTTTTATTGTTGATAAGATTCTATCATGATATTTGGTATATTCTCGTACCCATGAATTACAATTATAAATATAACATGCTTGAAGATTATAATAAAAACAATCTGGCATACAAATAAACCATTTTGATAAATAATCTGTTTTAAAACGATTATCTGTACATGTATGAGTAAAATCAACAACTAATTCAAATGGTTTGGCTTGAAATGGTTTCAATGTTAATAAAACATGATAAATTAATAAATCACAATTCATTTCATTCACTTTAAAACGACGTGCAATATAATAAAATACAGGTGTATTATTTTGTTTACTAAAACCAGCCTAAAATTAAATTACAAAGTTTTATAGACACTTTAAAAAAAATATTTCAAGTCGTTTCCTCAGTTAAAGTCTCTTCTATGTCGTAGTGAAATTTGTGAGTTATTTGGAATTTATCAAATTTTAAAAAAGTGTCACTGGTACTTAAAGGCAAAACTAACGAGGGAACGTTCTCAGGTGTTGGTCTCGGATTTCAGTTATTTTCCGGCCCATAAGTACTATGTAGTGCCCTAATAAAAACCCTAAAAGGATTTGAGTTGATAGTCCTTCCTTCAAAGGTTATGGCCATTTTACTGACTTTTCGACCTGGTCTTGGGTTTAGATCGAGAAAACTAAACTAACGAATTTCGACTTGAAATTTCGCCCTTAGAGAGATATAATGATCCTAAGAATATCCTGAAAGTTTCAGCCAAAAAGAATCTTCCGTTATTGAGATATCGGATTTTTAAAATATACTCGCTTGCCGCAGATCGGTCATAGGAACCGAGTTCACTTGAAAATTCGATATTTCGATAACGGAAGATTCTTTTTGGCTGAAACTTTCAGGATACTCTTAGGATCATATAAGCCTCTCTATGGGCAAAATCTCAGGCCGAAATACCGTCATTCGATTTATTTCTACATACCCTCCCATAGGCTAAAATTTCAGTATATTGCCTAGAACTCGGGACAGAAGGCCTATGGGCCCTTATCCTTTTGGGGTTTTTCATACTTCACTGGGGTCTACATTATGCACGGGACCCGAATTCCAAATCAATCCTTCAGTTGGGGATGTTCCCTCATAAGTGGACGAATCCCTTAGTTACATCTAATATTATTTTATATAAAGAAAACTCACTTGATAAAAAATATTCAGAGCTTTTAATGATTTAAATTCTTCTCTTTCATGCATTTGTGTTTTAGCCATAAGTTCTTCAAATTTTGTTGCTGTCATATCATATGAAATCCATTGTGAATCTAATGGTCGATGATCTGGTGGACCTAAATATGCTAATAATGTTGCCATTTTATCAAATGGTCGTCTTCCAATCGCTTTATGATCACGTCCACTTGATAAATAATCACCAATTTTTTCTTGATGATACCAAAGAAGTCGATGTAATGCTAAAACATTTGCATCACTGATATATGACATTGGATATGTTGGTGAAAGTATTGTTGATTCTTGAATATTATTATCAATTGGTTGTTGTTCATCCGATGGCATAAGTGTATTTAAATTAATTGGTTCACTTATTGATAAAACAAAATTTGTTGCTGAATCAAATGTTGAACGAAGATAATCATTAAATGAACGCATATGAAATTCTTTTGTAAATATTAAATTATTTGCAATATTTTGAAGAATTTTTGATACAAGTGTTAAACCACGTTTTATACGTGGTAATGGTTCAGCATCAACAATACCAAATTCATGTGGTAGAACAAGTGCAGGATTTAAAAATCGAAGAAATATTACAGTTGATACAGCCTTAACAAAAAAAACATTTATTTTTAAGAAAAATAGAAAAAGAAGAAAATACTTGTAAAGGATGTTGAGGAAAACGTTGTTGTACAACTTGATATAAACATGAACATAAAATTCTTAATTGAAGTGGAAATTGTGATGATGAATCAATAATAGCTTGAAAAACATCTTGTGTTAATAAACGTAAATTTTTTCTATTATCATCTAATTGTTCATGTTGTTCAATACGTGATGGATCAACTTCATATGAACGTAAATCAGCAATAAACATTTTTGCTAATATTGGTGCAAATAAATTATATAAATAATGTGAACCATAAAGTTTAAAACAAAATGACATAATTTTTGTTGGTAAACCATTTCCACGTAATATTGTTTGATAACAATCAGCCATTTCAACTTCTTTAGCAAACATATTTAATAATAATTGATGAAGTAAATGTTTCGCATCAAATATTGTTACAAATACACGAGCTAATTCATCCTATTGAGAAAAAAAAATTATTTCAATGAAGAATAGAGTAACGAAAAAAACTTGTCAGTGCAGCTGTATTAGGGCTAAAAATGTACAACTTATGTATGTTCGTATTAAAAACACCTGATGAGCATAAATCCTTAGTCTTCCCTTATTTCTGAAGGATGGGCGATATATCTTAACCTATCGCCCACACCCTGAATGAAATAACTAACCATATATTGTGGTGAAACAACATTTGCTAATGCCATTGCAATTGGTAATTCTCCTTTATCTCCAATCATTGTAACAAGTTCAACTAATCGTTCAAATCGATCTGCAAGAACAGTTTCAGCAAGTGTATCAAATTCAGTTCCTTGTTGAAGAATTTGTGTTAAAACTTCCATGAAAGCTGCTCGTGTTTGTGGATCACGATGATAACCCAATGCTACAAAAAAACAAAATATTATTTATCCTATTTAAAAGAAAGTCTATTTAACTTACCAATACTTCTCATAAGACCACTTTCAATATTTGCAGCAAGTAAATTTGACATCGCAACAATCGTTGAATTTCTTAATGATTGTTGTTTTTGTTGTAATTGATTAATCATTTGTGATTGTTGTTGTTGTTGTTGCTGTTGTTGTGTTTGACTTGTAATATTTGATGTTGTTCTTTCATTATTTGTTTGATGATGATCAGGTAATGAATTTTGATCATCATTTAAATCATCACCACAATCATTTAATAAATTCATAAATAAAGTAAAATATTTTAAAAATAATTGTGATTTAGCTTCCATTAAATCTCCTCGATCACTTTCTTCAGGTTGTAATGGAAGTGAATGAAGTAATGAAGCAACAGCTTCCATTGATGCTTGATCTAATTCACGTGTTAAATGTTGATATTGATCAACAACCAATTGAGATGTTGTTACATTAACACTATTCCCAACACCAACACCAGCTGCTGATTGACCTAATGCATGGACCTAAAACAATAAAATAATTTTAAATTCAGTTTTATTTTTTCATTAGTCGATTTTACTTGATTAAATTGATGTGAATTTCCCATAATCCAATCAGTTAAATATTCGACAAGTTTATTTCGAAATTTAATTTCTTGTCGAAATGATAAATCATCACGTCTTTTCATCATCGATTCAACTAATTGACAAACACGTATACGAATAGCAACAGCACCAACACTTGTATCCAAATGTCGTGCATAACGAACAATATTTAAAACAAGTTGTTCTAAACTACTAACATTTGCCAATGGATTTTCACTTGTTTGTTGTGGTCCACCACGTCCACCTGAACTTGTTGAATTTGAAGTTGGATCATTTGATGAACCACCAACACCTGATGGTGTTGAGCCTGCATTATTAGTTGGTACACCTAATGTATTTGATGAACCATTTGTTGTTGATGGTCCTTCTAAAGAATTTTGTGCTGCTTGTTGAGCTTTCATTTCAAATACCGAACGCATTATAACAATAACATTATCTGCAAATTGTGTATTTTGCTCTGAACATATAACTTGACCATTAGCATCGAAAAATTTATCAACTTGAATTTTAATTTGATCAAATAATATTGGATAACATAATGGATTAAGTTCATGACCTAATAAATCTTGTATATGACGTTGAATTTGTATACCAAATTTTTCATTTTGACAAACCAAATATTTTAAACAATCACCAATAAATCTATACATTTTAAATTAGTTCATTTTAAAAAAAATTAAAAAGAAAAACTTACTGTGTAACTGGACAGTAACACAGATCGGAACTAACAGGTTCCATTGATGTACGTCGAGTATCAACTGGAATTCCATGTGGACTAAAAAATCAGAAGATTTTAATAATATTTTATCAATTCTAAATAATTTATACTTCAATGATTTCATATTAGTCATTAAGATAAAATTTATATTCAATAGATGTTAATCCCAAAAGATTTCCTTTCATAAATAGAAAGTTAATCAACAATATATCCTTTCGAAGTAACTCATATGATAATTGTACTTAAATTTATGTGATACACATTATTTATTATAAATTGATAGTGCCATTCTCAGATGTTCTTTCGACATATTTATTCTTCTTATTCTATGAATGACATGCACTTTTTTGTCTTACTTAATCTGTAATAAGAGTTAATTCATTAACTTTAGAATTTTTTTCTAGTTTAATGAGTTACATTACCCATGAGAATTTCAAATGTAGCATGATAGAAAAAAGAAATATCTTCTAAAGAATTTCTTTAAAAACTCATTTCTCTATTTATAAAATGTATCTAAACTAATATAATACCCTGGTCGATTTTTCACTGGTAACCATACACTTCCAAGTGCACATAAAAATCCTGTCATATTAGCCCATTCATGAAAAACATCCTTAATAAAATTTAATAAAAAATATTTTCTATTATTTTATATAAAAATAACTAACTTCAATTTCATGTTCACTTGAATGAACACCAGCTCGTCTTTTACCAAATTTCGTATAACCACCACCTGCTAAACTACTTGTTTCACTTCCACTAACTGATGGTGAACCAGCTGTTGATCCTCCACTACCCAAATCATCAACACGTTTTGGATAAACAGCTAAAAATTTCGCCAAATGTTGTTGACTAACAAATGTATCATACCAAGCTTGTTTATTTCCTGGTGTTGCATATTCAATACGTCTTAATAATGAAAGAATTTTCTTTTGTAAAGCATTTCGTCCTGTTGTAACTAATGTTGTTGATGCGGCTGATAATTCCATGTAAATATTATAATTAGGTAAAAGTGTTAATACAGCTGTTTCATCAAAACCAAAACGAATATCAGCTTCATATGCAAATAAAGCAAAACATGACATGGCAATTTTAACAGCTTCAGGATCAATTGACCATAAGTAAATAAAAAAAACAATTTCAAGTTTTGTATGAGCATGTTTTGCCATTGGAATATTTGAACCAAGATAAGCATTATCTTTATGATGTAAAAGAAATGCATTACGTAAAACAAGAATTTCTCTTAACCATCGTAATACAGATGTATATTCATAGATTTGATGTAAAACTAATTTTTGTGAAATTGAAAAAAGTACTTGACTTGATATTGACCAAAATGTATTTATAGATGCTTCAGGATTCCATAATTCAATATTTCGTGTTTCATGTAAAACTAATAAAGATTCCATTGCTGCGTGTGCAACATCAGGCATCATTGATGTATCATGAACAAGTGATACAAGACCATTAATTAATTCAAATGTTGACATTTGTGTTTCATGATCAAGTTTATTTGGATTATGTAACATTAAATATGGATCAACAATGATTAAACGTACAATCCATAAAAGTAATTCACGATTATTTGGTCCTTCATCATAAGCTAAACGATCGGATGTTTTCGATTTAAATGCTTGAGAATATTGTGAACGTAATTGTTGTGGATTAAATAAAATATCTTTTAATGTACTAACACCTGTTATACCGGATATTCTTAATGGTGTTGTTGAAAATGTTGATGATTGAGAAACTTTATTTAATGTATCTGTAAACATATTTCTCAATTCACCTGCACGAGAATAAACAATATCGATTTGTGGCCACCATGCTAAACGTTTTTGTGTTATTATACGATAAAGTGCTTTAACAAGAACATAATGAAACATAGCTGGTGATGATAAATTTAAACAAACTCTTAAAACTTCATTATTATGTGGATTTAATCGAAGACATGCAAGAAAGAATTCGATCATTAATTCTAAATCAACATTAATTTTATCTTGACCACGTGAAAATGGTTTTGATGGATTAAATAATATTAATTTTAAATCACCAATAACTGATTGTACCATAACAAATAAAACATTATTTGAATCTTTATTATTAATATATGTTGCTGATTTACATAATTTAACAAATGTAACAACAGCAGCTGATTCCGTACCACCAGCTGAATGTTGTTTACCTAACACTTGCGCATGTAATTGACGTTTTAATGCATCAACAAAATTTCGTTTACGTAAATGTTCAGCTGAACAAGGACCACCTTTTTCTAATGCATAAACTAATTCTTCAAGTATTATTGGACATAAAACTAATAACATCATTTGTAATGGCCAAACATATTGAACTTTACGACGATTTGCTTCACCAAATGAATCAAGTAATTCAAATAATTTTTCACAATTATCTTTTAAAAAAATACAAAACATTTTATTCATTAAATCGATAATTAATTCTTACCACTTAATTCAGCATTTGGTCTTTTCTGTAAATCAGTAAATTCTTCGGGATATGTATCTAACCAATTCCATATAGCCTTGAAGAAAATAACGAAAAAAAATATTTTTATTTATATTTTTGTTTTAAATTTACTTTTTCAACACTTTTAACAAGTTCTGTATGATGAATTTTTTTAAGTAATCGCCATTTTTGTACTTCTTCTACAATATATAACAAAAGATTTTATTCGAAATATTTAAATAAGACGATATTACCATTTAAAAGTCTTGTTAATTTAAGCATATCAACATTCATATGTTGAATAAGATCAAGATCACCGGCTTCACAGGTTTCATCACCCGATGCAATTAAACATTCAAGTCTAATAGAAAAAAAAATTGTTTTTTTCATTAAATTATCAAAGAAAAAAAGAATGATCAGTTTTATATTAGTAAAATCAAATTAGTAGCAAAATATGAGTTCTATTTATCTTTTACCTTGATAGAAATTAAAACTTTTCTAAATATGAATATTTTGTTTTATTGAAAACAAAACTCTAGATAAATATCATACCTAGATACAACTTTACTAAAAAGTGTACCAAAATTATTGACACTTAAGGCAAATAAAACATTCGAAGCAAGTTGTCGAACATGTTGAACTGTTATACCATCACCGGGAACATTTAATAGCTAAAATCAGAATTATTATTTTTTTTGGTCAAAAAATTATTTTTTGTTTCTTACTTTACAAACTACTGGTAATAATTTATTAACATAAATCGCTTCATCCAAACGACTTGTACTTAAATCTTTTGTCTAGAAAAAAAAAATCAATATTTTTCTATATAAATGAATAGAATAAATTACATTTGCTAAACATTGTTCAACAGCATCAAGTACAATTAAATATGATTCATAAATATTTTTTTCTTGATCAAAACCACCAAATCTCTAAATAATAGTAAATAAATAAAATTTAAAAAAAAAAAATAAAAAACCTACAGTACTATCAATGGTTTTTAATATATCTGTAAGTCCATTAATAACAAGTGAAAATTTAAAACGACTTAATGCAACTAAACATTCTTTATTTTGTTCTAAATTAAGACGCATTTGATTTGTTAATTCTCCACATTTGATTGGTAACTAAATAAATAAATAAAAATTAAATATGCATATACATATATATATATGACTTACTTGATCTTCAAATCGTTCAATCAACGCTGAAACCCATTCGACGGGTTTAGACGTTGACATCTTTATTCTTTACAAATCTCTAAAAGCATTAAATAAAATAAAAAAAAAAGAAAGTACTAAGAAATTATCATTTCCGTCATAGTATATAAATAAGTTAAGGATTTGCCGGAGAAAAAAAAATAAGACTATCAAGAAGGAAAAGAAAAAAAGGAACACTTTTCTTTTTTCTCGTTCTCTACACATTCCTCTTGACTATGACGTAGATAAATGCGACATAAGAAAAATGCATTATTATAGAGGTCTTATTTTAACCAATCATATATTTGTATAGTTTTGGACTTATTTATTATTATTTACTTCGCACATTCACTTGTTTTTTCAGATTTAAGTTCGTAAAGAAAAAGATGATGGCTAATCGATTAGTTGGTCTTCGTAATCAAGTTGGACGTTGTTTTAGTACAAGTGCGACACTTCTTCAAGGAGCATTAGGACAACAATCACCTTTACCAACACCATCTGGTTCATCACCAGAATCATTGGCAACACCACCAGTACATGTATTTGGTTTAGAAGGTCGATATGCAACAGCATTATATTCTGCAGCATCCAAACAAAATAAACTCGATCAAATTGATGCTGATTTTCAAAAATTAGGTCATGTTTTGACACAAAATAAAAATATTATTGATTTATTTCGTAATCCTGGTGTATCACGTGAACAACGTTTAACAATATTAAATGAATTAGGTTTATCTGATATGACAAAGTCAGCAATTGAAATACTTTTTGATAATCGACGAGAAAAAAAATTATCAAAATTTGTTACTGTCATGAATCGTTTAATGGCTGCTAATCGAGGAGAATTATTATGTCGAGTCATTACAGCTAAACCATTAGATGATAAATCACGTAAAGAACTTGATTCAGTATTACAACAATTTAGTAAAAAAGGTGAAAAACTTAATGTTGAAACAACAGTTGATCCAACAATAATGGGTGGTATGATTGTAGAAGTTGGTGATCGATATATTGATATGAGTATTTCAAGCAAGATCAAAGCTTATACCGATATATTAACAACCAACGTCTAAAGACATTTATTTTTTTCTTTTTCATTCGTCCTTTCTTCTCCTTAAATACTATTATATTGTAGCTTCTATTCCGCCATCTTTTAGAATAAAACATTCAAAATAACTAAACAGTACTGATTGATTAGAAGAAAAAAAAACAACGATCTATTTCGGTTTTGTTCTTTTAGATGCAATTACGTTCAACAGTACGATTAAATTTTTGTTCTCAATTATGGAATACTCTACGTAATTAATAGAATCATTTTTTCTTTTTATTTATCAAAGACGCGAACAAAATTTTCTTAAAAAAAATTTATATTATCTAGAAGAAAGAATAATTTGATATGTTCGCGTCTTTAACAAAAATACTGAGATAATAATTAAAACTAGACGAATTTTAATCTAATAGGTCGTTCCATGTTTATTCAATCTCAAGAAACTCCAAATCCTAATAGTTTGAAATTTTTACCTGGTCGTCCTGTACTCGATTCAGGTGTTGGTACTCGAGATTTTCCTAGTATTCAATCAGCTTATATTTCTCCATTAGCAAAGTATGTTAGAAAAGGAATTTCTATGGAATAACAGTTGAATTTTAATTTTCTTAGACAATTATTTCGTGTTGATGGTGTTAAGTCTGTTTTTTTGGGTTCGGATTTTATAACAATAACAAAAGAACATGATGATATTCAATGGCAAGTATTAAAACCAGACATTTATGCTGCAATTATGGATTTTTTTTCAACAAATCTACCTGTTGTTGATGAAGATGCTGAACAACCACAAAGTAGTAAGCGAGTGCGTTTTTTTTGTCTTTCTTTTGTTTTTCATTTCAAATCAATTCGAAAAGAGAAAAAAAGATAACTGCATGATTTTAATTCATAAATAGGTGCATCACCAGATGATGATGATACAACAGCTATGATTAAAGAATTACTTGATACAAGAATACGACCAACAGTTCAAGAAGATGGAGGAGATATTACTTTTGTGGTAAAATACAGAGAGAAGAATTTTATATTTTTATCCGGGGTTTTCTTTTTCTAAAGGCTTTTGTTGATGGTGTTGTTAAATTAAAATTACAAGGTGCTTGTACTTCATGTCCAAGTTCGATAGTTACTTTGAAAAATGGCGTTCAAAATATGTTACAATTTTATATACCTGAAGTTAAAAGTGTAGAACAAGTATGTCTTAGTTTTCTATTGAAAATATCATATTATTTAATATTTTGTTTTTAGACAGAAGATGAAGTTGATAAAACAGCAAAGAAAGAATTCGAAGAATTTGAAGAAAAACTCCAGCATGAATTATTCGACGAAGAAAAACAACTCGAAAAAGATTTATTAGATGAGGAAGAAATCGAAGAAAAAAAAGCGAAATCAAAACCGAATAAATAATTTCTGTTTTTTTTTATACTTGCAATAAATTTAAATTGCGTTCGATATTAAATATTCGTAACTAAACGAAATATATATATATATTCTAGATTTTTAATAATGAATCCAACGCCATCGGCACTACATTATCCTGATGTTGTCAGTCGATCAGCTAATTCAAGTAAACTTCTTTATTTTTAATTCGATATTATCGACATGTCTTTTTTTCACAGATTCAAAACAAGCTGCCAGTAATTATGCAGCTGGTCTCAAAATGGCTAGGTAAATATATATATAGTGTTAATCACGAGTAATTCATTTCTCTTTCTTTAGTCTTTTTTCCGAACATGTGTTACTTTATCCATTCGATGTCCTCAGACGACAAATTCAAGTAGGAAAAATATTTCTTTAAAATTTATTGATAATTTTTTGTTTTGTTTAGGTAAATAATGAAGCTGTTAAATATCATTTATCTCCAGTTAGTGTATTCCCTGTTCTATTTAAAATCTCATCACAAGGTCCAGCTGCACTTTGGAAAGGTGTTCTTACTTCTCTTGCATATAATGGTTTAGTCGTAGCAACAGATAATTTTCTTCAAGATTTAATTCCAGTAAAAAAGTAAAGATTTATTAAATTATTTCAAAAAAACTTCATTTTTATTTCTCCTAGAAGTAAACATAATCGAACACAACAACTTCGTCGAGTTGTTCGAAATATAGCTGTTCGAACGTATGTTTAGATTGATTTCTTTGAAATGTCTTTAAAATCTTATTCTATTTCTAGAACTGCTTATTTAATCGTTTCACCAATTTATTATATAATGCTTATTGAATCAGTTCAAAGTGTAAGTGCATCGGATGGAAATTTACTTGATGGTATACGTGATACACTTATACGTTTTGTTCCTTATTCATCAACAATCACAGGTGGTCGAAGTAAAATGTTACCAATATGGCAAATTCTTATACCAGCTGTTGGTCTTATGACTGGACGATTTATATGTGAGAAAATTTTATATAAAATTATATTACCAACATTAAATGCAATACAAGAAGCTGATCGATATCGAAAAAGAAAACAAAGACGTACTGCTCAGGTAAATTTCAAATAAAAATAAAATTATTTTTATTCTCTTTTCTTTTAGTTATCAATGGATGATGATTATGAATTCGAAGAAAATGTTCTTCTATTTGAAACAACTTATGCATCATTAATTGCTCGAATAGCTGCTGGATTTTTTGGACAAGTTTTATTTTATCCTGTTGAAACAATTGTACATCGTCTTCATGTACAAGGTGTTCGTGCTATTATTGATAATACAGATACTGGTGTTGGTGTATTACCTATTAATTCATCGATTTATTATACAGATTTTTGGTCTTGTTTTAAATCAATTGAAGAAACAGAAGGAAGTTCTGGTTTATATAAAGGTATTGGATGTGTTTTACTTAAATTTTCATTATTATACGGTGGAATGTTATTGGCACATGGTGTTGCAAAAAAATTTGTTATTGATAATAAACCAGCTATACCAACTTCTCCTTCTGTAACAACAACGACATCAACAACAACAAGACCAACATGGAGACATGAACCAACAACTACAATTACTACTGAAAGTGGACAATGGTAGTTTGTTTCAATATTTATTTTTTTATTTTGGATTATTAAGAACATATAGAAAAATTTAGTCAATCCTATCCCAAAAAAAAAACTTTTTTTTTCTGAATGAAATATAAACTGTTTTTAATTTCAAATTCATATTGTCATTGTCAATAGCTGATTTGGTTCGAGCTATAAGGAATAAACAAATCATATTTTTCTTTCTTGCAATTCTTCATGGCAAGTTAACAAACAATACGTATCCTTTGTCATAAAGAATAAAACTTATTATTTTATTAAAATAATACAATCAATCATATTTTACTTTTTCTGAAGAAAGGAATTATATGTATAAAAAGAGATTAAAAATCAACAAAAAATGAGCATGTTTTATTATATTGAACTAAATTATCATTAGTAATCTATTACTATTTTCTATCTTTATATGAATATGATGAACGACTTCTATCATTATTTGGAGATGAATGATATCGTTTTGAATTTGATCGACGATCGTGTGGTGATCGAGAACGATCTCGTTTTCGATGACGATCATTATTAGTATTTCGATGTCTTAGAATTAGAAAAGAATAATATATAAACGATTGAATTGACAAATTACCTTGATGACCGTCGATCACCAGATGATGAACGTGATCGTCGAAATCCACTATACGAATCATGACGACTATATGTTAATCGATTTCGTCCATCAGTATTTCTATTTTTCGACTAGAAGATTTTTTTTTTCGAAAATATTTCAATCAATAGATAAATGAACTTACACGTCCATTTGATAATGCACGTCGATTTCGACTGACATTTTGACCTGGTGTTGTTTTTGTGAATTCAACGACTAATGAACGACCACGATGAATACGACCATGTTCACTTCGTTGAGCAAGCTAAAACAAGATTTGAAACTATTAGAAAAGTATTGACTAAAGAATAAATCGGATAGTGTATATCATGGAATGTGAAGAAGAAAGAGATTACATTTTTTACTGATTGTTAATGATAAAAATAAATAAGGAATAACAGATCATTTATCGAAATAAACATAAAATATATATACATAAATCGATTTAATTCGTTGAAATTACCAATTATTCTCAATTAATCGATAATGAAGAATAATCTAAGTAATGTATAATACCTCAGCATGAACGATGGAATAATAAGATACAAAACCAAATGCTACAGTATATGCTAGAAAAGAATTCAATTGAAATACAATATATACATTTTTCTCTCTTACTTGGACCACCAAATCTCACTTCACATCGTTCAAGTTCTCCATATTGTTTAAAAATATCTCTTAGTTCATGTGTTTGTGTTTCTGGATGAATATTACCAAGATATAAATTTCTTGACGACATTTTTTCTCTTGTTTTATACAAATGGCAACAGTAGAAAAAACGACAATTGAATAGTTACACTTGACTGAACAAGCAATCAGAGAGAAGCAATATTTTACCCTTTCGTTCTGTATTATAGAGAAAGGATGAGAGAGAAGGTAACATACATAGATACTCAAAAAAAATTAACTCTTTTTCTTTTGATACGTAGAGGTTCATATATGTTATATATGGTAATTTTATTAAATGATATTCGTCGATCAGTCACAAATCTTTCAATGTATGAATAAAATTTAAGCGTTACTCTTTAATTTATCTACTTATTTCACTTTAAATATTTACATTTTCTATTCTCTATGTTTGTTATATATGAGTATTTTAACAGGGTTTCATTTTTTTTGTGAGCGAATCGATGATCTAGATTTTGTTTTCATATCTAAACAAACTAATAGATTTGATAGTATCTCTAAGAAAAATCATTTAATAACATATGTGCAAAAATTTTAATAATTTATCTGGTCACAAACTACTTCTCTGTTATTTGATCAACATATCAAAGTTCGTATATCTAAAGAAGCATTTTTTTGTATCACTTCTCACCACTACTGCCTTTCTCTTTGATTGTGGAAATTCATGTTTTTTGTACTCAGTTAATCTTGAAATTTGTTTCTTTTAATAGATAATTTTGTCATCATCAGTATTCGCATAACCAGAACTAGTCATTCAACACCAATTTTTCTTAGTAAGTGTTTTCAAATCAATAGTCTAGCTATGAAATTAGCTTCGAGCATTTTTTTTTATTAAGAACGATATTTCTATGAGACAAATGTTCTCTAATTTTACTATTTCTGTTGTTCGTTTTCTTCGACGTTTTCGTTGATCCAAGGCCTGCAGCTTATAAGAATAAATGAACTGTGTGTGAGTTGAAATAGGTCTTTCATTAGAATTTCGTTTTGCGGCATAGTCTCATATTTTTTAACGATTGGTTTCAGGGGCGTGACGACCCCCTGCTCTGCTCTCAGCACCTGGGTACGCTTCTGGTTGACTTGTTTCGATTTTCAGCTCGCTCATTCCTATATACTTGCTATTAGATAAAAATTTAATAATGATATATGTGGTTAACTTAACCAACAGATTCCACCATTCTCGAAAAAATACTATGATATTAATTTTGTATTAGTATGATGAGTGTCTATATTTATCAATTGATATTGTCAAGACTTCAAATTCTTGTATAAAATCGTTTTTAAATAACTATTTAACGCGGTGATAGACCTTTGAATTGATAAAAGGTATAAAATTACATAACAAATTGAAAATAGATAAGAATATATTAATCTATAAGATTTGTTTTTTGCATATAGAGAATTGAAGAATAAAAATGTCCACAAGAATACGTGCTCGAAATATTGGTATTCCTTTTAAAGGAACTCCGGGTGCTTTCAATTCAATAACTGATGTTCATGGTGTTGAAGTAGGACATCGAACAATAATTGAAGATTCAAAATCATCATCAACGAAACAAAATTGTATTCGAACAGGTCTTACAGTTGTACTTCCGAGAGGAAAAAATATTGTCGGTAATCTAGAACATCAGAATTTATTTGGAGCTTGGTATTCATTAAATGGAAATGGAGAAATGACTGGAACAACTTGGCTAGAAGAATCAGGTTTTCTTGGACCACTCATTGCAATAACGAATACACATAGTGTTGGAATAGTTCGAGATACAGCTATTCAATGGTTTCAACAACAAGCGAAAGGATCAGGTCTTTTCGATTGTAATTATAGTTCATTAAGTTTACCAGTTGTTGCTGAAACATGGGATGGAGTTCTTAATGATATAAATGGATTTCATGTTCAACGAGAACATGTTTTTGATGCAATCAATTCAGCCACGTCAGGTGATGTTGATGAAGGAAATGTTGGTGGAGGAACAGGTATGGTTACACATAAATTTAAAGGTGGTATAGGTACATCATCTCGTATATGTGGTGATTATACAGTCGGTGTTCTCGTTCAATCTAACTATGGATTTAGACATCAGTTAACTATTGCTGGTATTCCTATAGGTGAAGAAATGTTAGATGAACTTTTACCTGTTCATGCAAAAAATATTGAAAAACTTGACGAAACAGGATCAATAATTGTAGTTGTTGCTACCGATGCACCTCTTTTACCACATCAATTAAAAAGACTTGCTCGTCGTGTACCAATTGGAATGGGATTAGTTGGAGCACGAGGTGGAAATGGTTCAGGTGATATTTTTGTTGCATTCTCAACAGCTAATCATCAAGCAATGGGAAAACAAACAGGAGTAGTACAATTAGAAATGTTACCTAATGAACAAATGACTCCTTTATTTGAAAGTGTTGCTCAAGCTACTGAAGAAGCTATTTTAAATGCAATGATATCTGCAAAAACTATGGAAGGAATATATGGAAATAAAGTTTATGCTATACCACATGAACGAATTCGTGAAATTTTGAAAAAACACAATAGATTAACGGATAATTAAAATAAATTTAGATTTTTTCTTAAATTTAAAAACTAATATATCATTTTTCTTCATTATATTGATGATTTTTTTATAATAGTATGTAGTTATAATAAAATTGAACTCGTACATTTTCTTTGTTGTTCAATAAACATGTATTGTTCTATTCTGATGTATACATGTAACGATGAGAATTTTTTTCATTCTTCATTGTCGAATAATTCCATTTACATGTGAAAAAGTCATGTAAAATTGTAAAATGACTTGTCCAACGAAATATTTCATGGCATGGGGGGTATAGCTCAGTGGTAGAGCATTCGACTGCAGATCGAGAGGTCCCTGGTTCAATCCCGGGTGCCCCCTAGGCTGTTCTTTTTTCTTTCCTTTCTTCACAAAGTCTTATTGTATTACAACACAATCGTCTATTGATGAAGGCTGTAGATGAGAATATGATGATGACATACACCATATCGTATTACTTTTTCTTTTCGAGTGACGAAAGAGGAAATACGACAATTATTACATTTAAAGAAAAGAGTGTTTTATATTCTTATATACATTGGCAACAGATGGATATACAAAATGTGCCAACGCAAACTTCTAAAAGGCAGTTAGCTGAAAATATATTCGATGTATACTTCTCTATACAATTTATTCAAATACTGTAATGTATAAAAAATATTTGAGAATAATATAACAAGTATACATAGAAGATACATTATTTTTACCGATTAAAGTTATAGAACAGTTCTTTCTCCAATACTTGGTAAGAATGTACCATGTTGAGAACAACTATCATTATCTCGAAATGAACCTTTCATTTGATATTCAGGTTCACTAGTCGATTCCCATTGACAAAGATTTGATTTAATCGATTGTCCTTCATTTATCGCACCTTGTCTTACTATCCAAGCACCTTTACCTGCTAAACCTTGAGCGACCATACCAAATGTTGATTTTGATGTAATGATTAAATGATGCATTTTTGATAGTATAAGTAATTCTGCTAAAGTATATTGCATTTTTTCTACAACATTAGAATTTTTTGGAGATTCGAATGCTTTTAATATTTCTAAATTTTTATACATTTTTGATAATTGATTTTCTAATTTTTGACGACGTTGCGGAGTATTTGAAATAATATACAAATAAATTTTAATCTCTTCTTTGCTCGATCTATAAATACAAAAATTCTTTTCATTTAAGATTTTATTTCAATAATTTACCTAGTGACATTTTGTATAACATGTTCAATACATTTTTGAAATGGTTCAATATATTCGATCATATTTGATGACCAACTACGCATATGAACTCCAATTGTTATATTTTTCTTTTCAAAATTATATTGTTTTTGAAAATTTTCAATAATTAAATTTACTTTTGATACTGGTTTTAATAATCTTCTTGCTAATTCAACAAATATCTGTCCATTTTGAAAAATTTGTACAAAATTTTGTCTCATTTGTTCATTTCGTGTTAATAATGGTACAAAATATTGATCAGTTCGAATCCATTTAACATGACGATGAAATAAATTCAAAATATAGAATCCAATTTTTTGAAACCATGATTGATTATATAGTTTTTTACTACATAAAATCTCTCGATCAAAATAAAATGCCCAATCTTGTGGTATTTGACTATTATATCTATTCAATTCAATATCATTTATCCATCGATTTTTAATAAGACTTGTTAATCGAGATAGTGAATATTGATATGGAATTTTCTTTTCGAATGATGATAGAGGTAAAAAAAGATCATCAAAATAAACTGGATGATTATCACCAGGCTGCCAATTAATTAATAGAACTCGATTAGTTACAAGAGCATAAGTCGTCACAGATATTAAACCAAGAATACGATTACCTAAACCATTCACTGCGTCAAATATTACGTAATCAGATTGAGTAGATGAGTATTTAATAACACAATTGCGATAAGCAATGTAAGAATCGAACAATATTGTTATATTACAAATATTCTTTGATAAAGCACATGTTTGAAATGAATTAATATTATATAGATGTGAACATGGAGAATTTATGAATAATTGTTCACGAAAAATATAGATAATATAAATAATTAATATTAAAATGAGAAATATTTTAATTCGAAATGATTTTAATTTCATTTAATATTGATTGCAGATCGTTGAATTTTAACTTCTTTTTTAAATTATAAAAGGTAAACATATCATAATAATTCTATTGATAATTAAATAAATTTTAATATTGTATGCTATGCTGTTCTTATACTAAAATAAAGTATTAAAATACATCCAACAGAAAGGTCAACGATGAGAAGAAAAAAAACTCACTTTTTTTATCTGTGTACTCTTTTCTTTCTGTCTCTCTGTGATTAACACGTGGCACAAAAAAAAGGCTGTTATGTTGACTTCTTTTCTTTTTTATGATGAGAATTCTGAATATAAAATAATTCTGTTTTATTTCAACTTGTTAAACTAAATTTGAAAATAGCTTTGTATATTATAAAATACATAATCTTTATTAATGAAGTGAATTATAATACTGTTGTTTCAAAAATTGACAGAAAGTGTCCACGAATATTATAATATTTTTTGATAGAAAATCAAAGTTAATATGTAAATCTATCCTCACTGAATAATCAAGTTTTACGTATGCTGAGAACTAAATGTCATAATATAATTCATAGTAGAAACGAAGAATTTATTTAGAATTATATTGTTATCAATGGTAGGGGTGTTAGTTGATAACAAAATCGTAGTATAGATATGTCAGTAGATAAAATATTCAAAAAAAAGTGGCGAAAACTCTTAGCGTCCATGGATGGGACTTCATGACGCTAACGTATATATATATTTATATTTATATCGCTCATCATGTGATTTTCTTTCTTTTCTATTATTGCGTCATTTCTTTTTCTATGTTTTATTCAGTCGTTATTGTTGTTTCTCTCTCCTCCTGTGTTATATCTTCAAGATACGGTAAGCTTTTTCATTATGAGTTTCTCAAGGGTTAGGAGACCAAGGTCCTTGATTTAGTATTTCAACCACAGTTATATCCTGAAAAAAGGAGATCCTCAAAAAAACTACGTTTGCCAATTTACTGCATAAATGTTTATATTCTAGTAGAAATATCTATATTAATACTATTTGTCTTATAGATAAACATCCTTTCCTGTATTTTATAACTTATGTAATATTAAGGATAATTATGACTAAATACAAGTTATACATTGATTCAATCAGCCCACGATGTTCATTATTTTTGTTGACAATAATGCTTTTTATTACCTTTACTACAGCGGTACAAACTAATGATGATTTGAGTATCGTACGTGAAAATGTTCGAAAAATAATGCTATGGCCTTCACCAGATCAATTGTCTTCTGTTATAACACAAGCCATGGCTAATTTAAGTTCATTGAATTTCGATACTTGTCAATGGCCTGATCTAAATTATACTACACGTGGTCCAGAAAACTGGGATCCAGTTTTACATATGTTTCGTATCGCAACGATGACTTCAGCATTGACCGCTCCTGGTGGGTTAATAAACAATACGAAATTATCATTAGGCATCCATTGTGCTTTAAAAGTATGGATCGAACAAGACTGGCAAAATCCAAATTGGTGGTGGAATTATATTCAAGATCCATTAATTGCTACAGGTATAATGTTGATGTTAGGTGTAGAACGAATGACTAAATATGAAATTGATGCAATTGTTAATATGTCTTATCGTGCAAATTGGTGGATCAAAGATTGGGGAGGTGGTGCGAATTTAGTTTGGGAATTACAAATTCAATTATATCGTGGACTTGCAACATCAAATTATTCAGCAGTTGAACAAGGTTTCGAACTCATGTGGCAAACTGTACAAATACAAAATCTTTCAACTATGGGTATACAAAGTGATTGGTCATATCATTTTCATGGTTCACAATTACTTCCTGCAGCATATGGTGATGCTTGGGCTACAAATATTTTACATTTTCATATGGCAACACGTGGTACACAATATGCTTTATCTAAAGATCGTATTGAAACTTTTGGTCGTTTTTTAACTCGAAGTGATGCATGGTTTACTATGGGAAGTGTTTGGACATGGGCTCTTATTGGACGTGTCATTGATCGTGGAGTTCATGTTTGGTATACACATTTATTTCCATCGGATCAATTACGTGAATTAGCAATGGATATGACTGATAATTCTACTGCTATCGCATTCTGTGATTATGCTGATCGACTTGAACATCGTCATGATGCAACACCTCTAATAGGAAATCGTCATTTTTATACTAGTGACTTTCAAGTACATCGAAGAGTTAATTGGACAGCTGCTTTAAAGATGCATTCTGCTCGAGTAATTGCATCTGAATGTGATAATAATGAAAATTTAAAAGGTGAGCATATAGGTGATGGTGTACTGAATCTGTATACTCGTGATGCTCAATATGGTGGTGGTGAAGAATATGAAAATATATTTGCTTTACTTGATTGGCAAGCTATTAACGGTATTACAGTTGAAGCTGATACACCATTAAATCATTGTGATAGAGGCGCACTTCCTATGTTAAATACAACATTTGTTGGTGGTGTTAGTGATTCGATGTATGGGGCAGCAATAATGGATACTTTAACACACAATTTGACGGCTAAACGTACATGGCATTTTTATGATACCTATATCATAGCATTAGCTAATGGTATTGAAGATAATACTACTGCATTATTACAAACAGCTCTAGTTAGTAGATTATTACCTGCAGCTAATACGATAAGTGGTATATTAACTTTACAATGGAGTAATGGAACAAGAATGGTATTGCCCGATGGTGTTTACTCATTTTCATATAATCAACCACGTATATTATGGTTTCATGCAGATGGTACAGCATGGTCAGTTTTAGAAGAATATGAAACACTCATCATTGACTGTCGTAATAAATCTGGTAATGTTAATCAATTCGGTCCATGGAATTTTGAAATGGTAGGACGTTTACTTACAGCTATTATCATACATGGTAGAGGACCCACAATTAACCCACTACATTATCGATACATGATTATGCCTAATGTAACTGTAGAAGATATGACAAGATTATGGGAACGTTATTTGTCTATAGGAAATAGTGCACATGCTTTAACATATTTGCAAAATAAGAATAATGAACCATTATATCTTCATGGTACTTGTGATCCATTTCTTCAACGAGCTTCAGTTTTATTATTTGATAAAGGTTTTACTAATAGTAGTATTGCATATTATAATTGTAGTAGTATGTCATTAAGTATTTATATGGAACAACCAGGTGCTATTTTATTTAGTGAAAATTCCAATAGTTTTACGATTACAGCAGCACATCCTACAATAGCAATAGGTACATTTATCGTCCATGTCAATCGATCTAGTATTGTATCACATGAATGTACAAATAGCAATCATTGGGATTTACGAAGTGGTACAAGAGTATTAATTCCTTTACCTGGTAACAATCAATTACTTGGTAAAAGTGTATCGATCACATGTAAAAAAAACAATATAGCTTAGCATTCAAACTATTTTTTTTAATTTTTTGTATGAAAAAAGATTCCTTCATAATTAGTAATTTTTACAATTTATATCGTGTATATGAAATCATAATTACAATGATACAATAACATATGAAATAAAATTATTCTCCTTTAAAAATAAACTCAATATATTATAAATGAAGCTTTCTTTTATACATATATATTGTCATTCACTTCTAAAACACATTTCAATGTTCTTTTTTTAAATTCAGTATAAATCATAGATATTATTCATACAAATGAATATTTTCATACATATATATATTGAATATCAATCAAAATTTATCTTTACTTGCGACCTCTTTTGCAATAGTCTCTTCATTTGTATATTACTATATTTTTTAACCAGTACGAAATAAAGTTGTTGTTATTTTTATCTTATATATGAATGTATGTCAAATACCATGTGCGATATTGCTCAATATTGATGAAATTAACTTATTATATCGAAGCTGAATCATCAGTGTTCTTTGTAAGAATAGAATAGAAACAATAATAAACGTTATTTAATTTTTTCTTTCAATATTTTTATAAAAATATATGGCTTCTGTTACATTTGTTGTTGCTGATGTCGATATCTGTACGCAGAAACATATTGAAACTACTAAATTATATCAAGCAGATTTAGATCGATGGGGAGAGAAAGATCAAACATTATTACTTGAAAATTTTCAAACAAATTATCCATTAGGTTTTGATCTTAATGGAAGTAATCATCGAATTAGTAATGCTTTTGTTGCTACTGTATACAAAGCATATTGTGAACATTATCCACTTGAAATAAGTGTAGAAGATATTTGGGTTGCTATTGAACAAGGTATTAGTATTCATCTAAATGAAAATGCTGAAAAATATCGAGAATTAATGGTAACACATGAAGGAAAAAAGACATTGGAACTGTTCGTAGATAGTCTTCGAATACTAGATTCTGATCGACCGAAAGAAGGAAATAAATCTGTACCTGCTATTGATTGGTCAGCTGCTATTCGACAAATGGGAGAATTAATTAAAAAAGATATGAAAACAGATTTAAGTACAATATTAACTACTCCTTTCTCTAATACAACATCAGTTGAACAAGCTGTTTTTGATTGTACATTAATGGATAGTGTAAAATCTTATTATAATCATCGATTTAGTTTACGTTGTGGTATTCCACAAGTAACATTACGTGGTTCGCCAGATGATTTTCAACAGGTTATTGATCGAATTAATCAACTTCGAATGATTTTTACTGATTTTCATTGGTGGTTAGATACACTTTTACCTCATTTGAAAGAATTAAAAGCAAGTGCTGAAGGAAAACATGATATCGATTGGTGGCATAAAATTTGTCATAAATTAGGAGGTGGATCTGGTGTTAGTTTATTATCTGGATGGCTTGCTGATTTTATACCGTAAGATTATTTTAATATAAGTAAAAAAAAGAATGTGCTTATTCTCTTTCTCGTAGAGAAGAGTCCAGTAAACATAAATTGTCTGCTTGCTTGCTTGTATGTCCGGAGGGTCAAAAAAACATCGAAAACCAACTTTCAGGAAAAGACATTTCTAGAGGTTTTTCGATACGGGAGTTTGAATCTGAGGTCTGTCGGGTGATCAAGGTTAGGGTAGCGGCGAAGGGGACTCAAAGGTCAAAAAAACATCGAAAATCAATTTTTTACTTTTTTTATTTGTTTTTCCAGTAAACCTGAAGAAAATGGATTTCTACGAGAAAGAGCTAAGCGAGTCTTCAGACGAGCGTTACTTGTTTGATTTTTTATTTTGTAGATACACATTGGATGGAAAAGGTCATTACCGCAAAGCTCGATGCGATCGTCACCATTATCGTGAAGTATATATTTTCTTCATATAATAAAAATTGATTATGTTATTTATTTGTAGGGTGTAATCAATGGTATTGAATTTTGTGATTTTTACGAAAGTGTAACTCAAACAGATTTTATTTTGGATGATAATGGACATGAAACGAAAATGAAATTCATTGCTGGATTTTTAGGTATTGGTCAAAATTCTAAAACAGGTGCACTTCGTCCATGTCTTGGATGGATTTCAGCATTACCAATAGAAAAACAATTTAATGATTCCTAAATATATGCTATTGATTGTTGTAATTAACTAACAAATAAAACATATCAAATAACTCCCATTCACACTCTTTCATTATCATATTTGCAAGATGCTATCTAAATCATTGAATGATAAAAAAATTTTATTAGAAAATTACAAATAATTTATAAGTTTAAGGTTTAATTATACATGTTTATTTTTTTAATAAATTTGGCACTGATTGTTTTGATAAAGCCGGCGATATATTTCTATACATTTTAACAGCTTGTTCATAATATTCAAATGATCGATTAACATCTCCTTGTGCATCATAAATTGTACCAAGATTATTTAAACATCTAGCGATTAATGGATGATTTTGATTGGGAAGTGTTTTTCGATAAATATCCAATGCTTTATGAGTATATTTAAGTGCATGATTTAACTGATTTTGTTGTTTATAACGTTCAGCTGAACGAAGATATTCATTGCCTGATTGATGTTGATAGAGAATAACATTTTCTTGAATAGTATCAAGTAAGAGTTGTCGATCTAAGAATAAATCAAATATTTTTGAATAATGTTCAAGAAGATATTGACATCTTTGTTGTTCTCGTGATGATTGACAATGAATAAAAATTGTATCAATTTGTTTTAATGAATGAGTACGAGAAAGTATATCTGTAGCAGATGAACTATTTAAAATAAGAAAAATTGATTTTGTTGATTGTTCAATAGTTTGAATACATTCTTGTGAGTTATTAAAATAAGTAAAAATACCTTCTTGATTTTTTTCATCATTATTTTTATTATACCAAATTAGAATTGGTGCTTCCTGTTTCACTGCAATTGGTTTAGATTGAGTAATAGAATTATTCACAGTCGCCGATTTCTTTTCGGTCATTTTTTATCGATTAAAGTAAAATAAATAAGCAGAAGAAGTTTTTAATTTCTATTATTACCATTTATATCCATTCGATAGAATCATTCCTATAACAACTGACTTCATCTCTTTCCATATTTAACGATCAGTGACCTCTTTTTTTTTTCAAAATTCATATCGTATTAATATTCAAAACCAATTGTAATTTTCATAAAACGACTAATAATAGATGAATATTCATTATTTTCAATTTAAAACTAATGACAAAAATAAAACTAAACTAAATACTGAATTTTTACTGCTAACAATAAGAGAATATAGTAACACACATAGAGAAAAAACACTTCTACGTAAAATATTGTTCGATAGTCAGAAAGAGTAATACGTAAAAATTACACATGTATGTGTTCTCTCAAGCAAATCTGACATATTCTTCAACCATCATATAAAAACATGATATATACCTACGCATTCCTGTCGAATATTTATTGTTTGTAAACCCATTGATCTTAGTAGTCAAATTATATAACGTATAAGTATACATTTAATTATTCAACACTATTTTACATAACGAACAATGGTACATGAAGAACGTGATATTAGTTATACGAGTGATACACAAAATGAAAGAAATAAACTAGATGTTTATTATTCAAATAAAGATTTTCAACGAGATGTTCTTGTATTTGCATTTGGTGGTGCATGGGCAAGTGGAGCAAAAGGGACATATAGATTTATTGGACGAAATTTTGTACATCGAGGTTTAGTTACTGTTATTTTCAATTACAGTTTATCACCTACACCAATATATAGAATAGCTCAAGAAGGTGCTGCAGCTGTCATGTGGGTATATACAAATATAATAAATTATGGTGGAAATCCAAATCGAATATTTCTTATGGGTCATTCAGCTGGTGGACATTTGATAGAATTAATAAATTCTGATAGGCGATTTTTTAGTCCATATAGAATTGAAAATCCAATTTATGGAATTATTTTACTTGATGCATTCGGTCTTGATATGTATCAATATCTTAGTCAACCATCATCGAGTAATGATAGATATTATAATACATTTATACAAGTATTTTCTAATGATCCTCAAATTTGGAAACGAGCATCACCAATGCGTTATTGGAGAAATATAAGAAATCCACATCTTATTCTAGTTGGTGAAAGAACTTATCCATCAATTCAACAACATAATAGACGTTTATATGGAAAATTAAGAAGTTCACAACAAGTACCTGTAGAATTTTATGAAATTCCTCGTAGAAATCATAGAGAAATGGTTATCTATATGTTTTTTAGTGGAAATGAACAATATGATATTATTTTGAATTTTATTAAAACTTATTAAATAAACCGGTTATTCGATTGATTTTAAAAACTTCTTTTTATACAAGATCGAACATGTTCTATTATATCTTATAAATTTCTAAAGAAAAGTACCGACAATTATTCTTAATAAGCCACTTATTATAAAATCTTGTTAATTTTTATGTTACATACTGTATAACTCAAATTCTAAATTTGTCGATCATTTTTCGATGTGAATTGATACTAATGTTATCCAATGAGTTCGATTCGAAACCTTAGGAGAACATAATTATATCTAAATAAGTGATCGACAAGTTTAACTTGCTTTATAAGTTTTTAATGAACCAAACAGATCTGTCAAATTGACAATAATACGACAGTTTAAAACTAAGTAATAAGTATTAAATAGTATTCCGTAGTATAATGAATTTAGACATCCTGTATGAGATCAATGATTTATAGTGAATCTGAAGATTCATCTATCTCTCTCCCATGCAAAAGATATAACATAATCTGTCAGATTATTTTGACTAATAAATGTAAAATATTCTATGTTCGTCCAATCGATCTGATTAACGTCAACGATATGTCATGTCTTTTTTTTTGCATTTTGTGTATATTGACAAACGTAAGTTTCGCATGTTTTATATAACTAATTAATATTGTTTACTTCGAACAATTCAACTTTCAGTTGATTTTATCTTAGTATCTTATGTGCATAAACAATCGATGTGTCTAAAATAACAACCCAATCAAGAAGAACGTTTTAAAGTGAAATACCATTACAAAATACTTTCTGTAATAGATTTAATAGTTCCTTATTCAATAAAAATATTTAAAAAATAACTTCTGTATTCTATTGTTTTTTTAAGTTATAATACTTTATCCGCTCAATCAGTGATTGTTAAGTTCCAAATAATATTTTCCACCTTCCAAGTATAGAATAAAAATAGGAATTGTAATCAAATACTGTAAAAGAAAAACGAAGTATTAGAACGATATTCTTTCCACTAGCATAATTTCATTTCTTGAAAATAAAATTGAACTAATTTATTCAAACATAGGAAGAGTATAGAAGAATATTAATCATCAATTCAGTCTATATGCTTTTTTATTATTACTGCTTTTACAATCTTCTCGAAGAAAAGATAGTTTATTATTGTATAAATCAACTCAATCGTATGCTTATGTAATGTATAGTACAATATCGTCTACGTTATCATTTCTTTTTCTTAATTATTTATTCTTCGACGTCATAGATTAATCTTTGTATATATGATAAAATGTAATTCTTCTATCAAAAGATATCATAGAAGTAAGATATTTTATTAAATAAAATCAAAAAGAGAAAATAGTGTTTAATACAAATTTTGATTATTTTGTTGATGGATGAAACATTGGTAAATCTTGTTCATCGATTTCTATTAAAGTTTTTATCGTATTATTATCAGCATGAAGTATAGCAACATAAAATAGATCTGGATGTGGTGCTTTTAAATCAACAATAGGATCTAAATGACCATCAACATTCGATATCTGTCCTTGTTTTAATTTTTGTTGATAATGAAATTCGTATATAGTTGATATCGAACCTTTTAATGGTCGTAATTCTTTTTCGAATTTAAGTGTATAATGTTCTACAGGTGGGTTTGAACGTACCGATAAAATTGGCGTAACACTTGTTAATCGACCAACGAAAGCGACTTCTGCAGTAGATAATTTATCTACAGCTTCTTGATAACCAATTAATATAACCATATTTTATATATGATCAACTGATCCAAGTATTTATCTATATAGACAATTGCGAAACTATAATATTAATCGTATTATTTATTAGTCGCACGTGTTGATCATATACAATGTAACGATTCGTTGATGAATGTCCTTGGGTTACACAATAGTAAAATATATCATGTGATTACTACTATCAATAGCTTATCTTTAGTCAAAATCATTTTCCTCGCTTCAATACACCAGACAAAAGATATAGTATTAACCTTTATTCTCAAAATAAACAGTCAACTATTGGATATTCTATATCGATTATGTATAGTTCTTTATCAATGTACCATTTTATTTTATCAACCTGCGAAATGAAATAAAAGAATATAAATAAATTGATCACACATAATTATAATACTGATAAACGAATATATTATTTCCATGCGAATGTTTTATATTCAATAGTCTATGCTCGATTGATGAGTTAAATTTATATAAAATCATCTTTATCTATTTTATTAGATAGCAGATGTATTTCCTAGGTAAGTAATGTGTGAATTGTTATAATAAAAAGCTTTAAATTTTTCTCTATACAACATAAAAGCCATAAGAATGTTATTTTAAACTAAAGAAAAACTCATTTACTCGATAATAGATATATAAATAAGAAAGTGTTGTTTTAATAATTATTTACTTGATGATGCCGTATGAAAAGTTTTTATTAGTATCTACTCTCTCAATCGTATATTCTATTTTGTAATTTTGACTGCATTATCTTATATAACGAATCATTCAGTTGAAACTGAATAAATTAAAAGAATAATCAAGAAACAAAAAGTAATTAGAATTTTATTTGAATGAACAACATTATGCTACTCAGACGAAAAAGCAAATTTTAATGATCTTTGTCCTGTTACGATTGATCAAGGTTAGAACAGGAAGAAACACATTTTTTTTTATTGGCAGAAGAACATCAATGAATTTTTGAAAAAAGAAAAAGGCGATATAAACGAATGAAAAAGAAAATGAAAGTGATTGAATTTTAACGTTGGTGACGAAGCCAAGGTTATTCATTGCAAATAACAACAACCAGAAAGACTAACATCGAAATATTATATAATGAAGTAAGTAAAAGACGTGTTAATAAATCTTTATTTGTTTTTAAATTAAAAGTCTTTTTCATATTTGATTGATATGAATATCAAAAGAAAAATTTGTTCATAATTAAGTTTTTCAAATAATAAATCTCTTTTTTTCCCCCATTGAAAATAATGTGACAAACGCATTTATCGTTGTATAAGCATAGAATAACAGTTTAATAATAAATATATATTCAACAATTTGATTATTACCAAAGTTATGTCAACTATATAGATGAAGTTATCTTTTTGATTGTTACAAAAGAATGAAATAATTGATTGATAAATAAGAGTAAGCATAGAATATGTCGCAAAATCTAGAATCAGAAAATCTAAAAAATAAAAATTTAAAAAATAAAAATCTAGAAAGGAAAAATCTAGAAAATGAAAATCTTACAAAATACTAGACAAAGTCGAAAACTTTGCATAAATAGATTTATTTTTATTTCACAAATTAAGAAAAAGCAGAAAAAGTATCTAACAAGAGAATATAAATATGGGTGTGTATGGATCTGAGTCTGAGTTTGGGTGTTCTCCTTAGATCAAGAACGGACACTCACACACACACACCAATTTGCCACTGGTCTATTAATCAGACATACGATATTCTTTTTTTATAACATTACTCGAGCAGTTGTCAAGAAGATGATGAAGGGACCACACATTACTATTCGCTAATTTAGTTTAATAGTAATGGCATGATTGATTAAAGTCTTAGCGATACCTGAATAGCAAAAAGTCGACCTGATTTTGCTCCATCTACATCAGTAAAATTTTCTAAATATATCGTTTCTAGATTTTTTGCTTCTAGATTTTGCGACATTACCGTAAGCATAGAACTATAATAAAAGAAATTTCTTTTGCTTGACTTGGAGATAGTATAGACAAATTATATAGATAAATGCAAGAGTTGATAGATAATGATATAGATATTTTAAAAAGACTTAGATAATTAATTTTTACTAAATTTTAAAAGATATTTTCATGTGGGAATTTATATTGGAAACAGTAGAACATCATATTCTCAATTGTATAAATCTACATTTGCATAAAAAGAGATTACGTTATACATTAATAAAACATTCGGACGTTGATTTTTGTGAGTTAGTTTTTCAAAAGTAATCGATATTTTATTTAGTTCTTTTGATTTACATATCTTTAACACGAATATAAATGATAACAACTTGAGATATTCTTATCGATAACATGTAATATTTATGACATTTTATATTAAATCTTAACAATCACTTCAATCAGTAGCGTACGCAAGGGGTGGGCCGAATGGGCCCGGGCACATCCCTAGAATTTTGCTGATGAACTTGGTCTTACAGTAGTTTCCTTTTTTTTACAGCTGAGCTTTATAGTAGGAGTTGATGAATAAGTACTAACAACTTTAGTGAAAAATTAGATCAAAATTCTTTTCCAACAAGCTCCAGTGTCTATAGAAATGGGCCCACCCCATAAAAGGTTTCTGCGTACGCCACTGACTTCAATATCAAATGGAAGAATAATTTAAGTTCACCAAGTCAGCTAAATCATAGAGGAAAAACGATTTAACTAATTATTATTATTTAATTTAGAAACATTGCTGATAATTAATTTTTTATAATGATATCAATATATATTTTAATCATTTTCGGTAAGAAAATCTAATAAAATAAATCAATAACACAATACTTTTTTTTCAAAGTTATATGTTTAATCACAATAATAGATAATAATTTAATTATAAAACCAAGTGAATCAATTATTTTACGTGATCAATTTAAACCATTTGTTGCATTGTGTACTGGACAAGAAAATATTCGAGTTGGTTTGTATTGGAGAATATTTTCTATTCAATATTATTTTTTTATCTTATTTTTCAAGTATCTTGGCAATCTCCGTTACAAATTAATATAGAAGAAAATAGTAATGCAAGGTAATTAAATAATAATATGAAGATTTTTAATAGAAATCATTTATTTAGAGTAACAATTGAACGTAAAACTTATGGATTAAGATTACGTATAAGAAATTTAACAGAAAATGAACAAGGAACATGGACATGTCTAGGTTTTGATGAAGACAATAAATCTTTTTCAAAAACTATACAAATTAATATTAAAAGTTAATATTATTTTATCGAAATTGAATTAATTCTTATTATTCTTATTCTTTTATAGTTCCAATAACATTTGTTAGTGAATCAATTCAATATGCTGAATTAAATTCTGCTGTATTAATTAAATGTTATGTAATATCAAATCCATCGGCTGAAATTTCATGGTTTAAAGGAGAAGATAAATTAAATATTTTATCATCAAATTACGAACAAAAAAATAATGGCTTAAAAATTAATCGAGTATCATTAAGAGATAATGATACATTTTGGTGTCAAGCAGATGTTAGTGAAACTGGAGAATCTAAAGATTATCAAATTCAAGTTATTCTTGCACGTATATTTTCTTAGAATACGATTAATTTTGAAATTTTGAAAGAAATATTTTTAGAAGCTATAACATCAACAAAAATTACATGTATGACACCATGTGCAGTTGAAAAACGAACAGCAACTTTAATTTGTGAGGCAAATGGAGTACCACAACCACAATATTCATGGTTTTATGGACAGGTTTATTTTATATATCAGCTAAATCAGACGGAATAGGACATTTATCTCCTTCATTTGACTTGAATGTTAGAATTTTTCTTATTAAAACGAGTCAACCAGGGGTTCCCATGGATTTGCGTGCTAAATGTCGAAAGGTAAAATGTCGAAAAAAAAAGTCGAAATTGAAAAAAGTCGAAAACCAAAATGTCGAAAATGCTTAGATGTCGTCATTGACCAGTATCGATGTTTGTTCTAATCATTTTTCTCGTATTTTCTTTCGGCTTCTTCTAAAATCGTTATGTCGACTAGTCAGAGTCTGGGTGTAGGTTAAGAGACGATAAATACCCACACCCAAACCTGCACCCACATCTACACCCATTGAAATCAAGTATTTCATTATCAACATCAAACAGGATTTTTTTGCTCATTCGACATTTTTCATTTTCGATATTTTCCATTTCGACTTTTTTTTCGACGTTTTTCCTTTCGACATTTAGTATACATACCTTCCCATGAAGTCGAAAAATAAAAAGGTCTACCTTACTATTATCTGAAACTGCCCGAAAAAGGATTTGTCTCTTTTCAATTAGATATACATCTTTCAGTTTTGTGAAGTCACATAGTTAAAAAATGATTTTGTCCATATACATATAATCTAATTATAGCATGGTCCTTTTACTATTAATGGAATATCAAAATTTATTATTCGTGGAAATCGATTAATAATAAATTATGTTGATGAAACAGATAATGGTCGTTATTCATGTCATGCATTTAATGATTATGATCAAAAAGGACAAAAAATAGGATATATACTTAATGTTATTAGTAAGAATCAAAAATCTTTTTTTGAGGGTTTTTTTTAATAGAATTTATTATAGTTCCACTTTCTTTGTCACCTATTTCTCAAATACAAATAAATCTTGATGAAAATTCTCCATCACAACGAATTACTTTTTCTTGTCGTGTTCAACGTGGTTCAACAACAAATCTTTCTTTAGAATGGTTTTATGCTAATAATACACTTGTACAAGTAAAAAATAAATAAATAATAATAATAAGTTCTCACATAATCATTTTCTCTATAGCCTATCAATGGTCTATCGATTGATAGTACTCAATTAACAACACATCATTTAATTGAATTAAATTTTGATCCTATACGTCGTGAACATCATGGAAATTATACTTGTTTAGGAAAGAACTTAGGTGATAGTTCATCGACTATTGCTCATCTTATTGTTCAATGTAATAGAAAAATAAATCTTATATTCTATTATTGTTTGTTTTTTGATTGAAGATAAACCTGTATTGATTGAACCAAAGATGAACTATGTGTATAGTGTACTCAATTATCCAGGTAAAGAATTTATTTTTCTAAAAAATATTCGTATTTTACTTAGTTTTACAGTAATAATGAAATGTCGATTCGATAGTTATCCACCACCTGTTATTCAATGGATAAAATTTGTAGAAGAATATAATGATAATGAGATTATTTTAAATAATAATGATTTACAAGTAATTGATATTTCATTTGAACAAATTGAATCCACAATTTATGAAACACAATTAACAGTAAAATTTATCTTTTATTTTTATTTTTATTTTTGATCTTTTATTAAATTAGTATAAATCATTAGAAGAAGAAGATTTTCGTTTCAAATTTCAATGTCAAGCTGATAATTCTCGTATTGAAAAGCATTTAATAACTCTTCGACGTGCTGAACTTCCACGAGAAGCTCGTATAACTAAAATAAAACCTAATTCTACTACAATTGAACTCAATGTTCAACCACCAATAGAATTCGGTGGACTTCCTTTACTTAATTATATTGTTAAATATGAAGAAATTAATATTCCTAATTCAGTTAAAATAGTTTCTTTTCCAGGTAAATTAAAGAAAAGATTTAACATATTTTATTTTTTGATGAAAATAAAACTTTAGTTGTATCAAATAATTCACAATTAATTCAGATTGAATCTTTACAAGTATCAAGTTTATATCGAATTGAAATAGCTGTTGAATCGATTGCAGGACAAAGTGTTTATTCGATACCTGTTCAAGCAAAAACATTTGATGGAAATATTCCACAATTTAATTTAACAATTATTTCATGTTTTAATAATAACTCTTATTTAATTAAATGGTTTATTGAATATGATGGTGGTTCAAATATTTCGAAAATTGAATTATTTTATGCTAAAGTAAATATAAAATAAATCAAATCTTCATATAAAATATTTTTTTGTTTTTTAAAAGCGTCGTAGTATTAATAAAATTGAAAAATGGAGTAAACCAATTCTTATTGAATCACATTTAACTGAATATGAATTGAAAGAGCTTAAATCAAAAACGAATTATTTAATTATTATTCGTTTATTTAATAAAGCTGGTTATGGTGAACGTATGATTGAAAAAACAATAGGTAAATTATTTGAAATTTATTCTTTTTTATAGTTTTAGATGATAATTTTAGAATGTAAAATGTCTGATCCTCAACAAGCAAGTATATGGGTTATTATAGGAATAATTACTATTATTATTATTGGTACTATTAGTATTTTTATTATATTTATTATCAATCGAATTCTATGCGAATGTAAATCTTCATATTTTAATGATCATTCAAAAATTTAGTATCAATTAATGGTAATTTCGTAGACAAAAAAAAGATGGATTTTTTCCAGATAGAATATTAACTGATAAAAACATTTAATTATATATAGTTTATTTTTGTTACAATGTAATATAGATTCAATGATTTTAAAATCATGAATTAACTTGTTTATGCTTTATTTTTTTGCATTTTGGTAAAACCTAGTCTTGAAAGATTTTCTAAACTAAAATGTAATTTACATATTTTTTAAAATATTATTTTGTGTTGAATGTAATTGAAGATATTTGTGTCATAAATAGGAAATCGTTCAATTTCTGATAATATCTATAGATAAAGAAATAGATGAATAATCGAAAACGATGTTTGATTATCATAAAATGTCTGTATTGTGAGTTAAGAAATGAAAAAATGAAGATGTGGGTGTGGATGTTGAGGGCTCTTTTTGTGTCACACCCATACCCTCATTCTTTCACCAGATGGAGTGAATGAAAAAAACATCACTCAGATGTTTAAATAGTTAGATACTTTTTTAAAGATTGCCACTATATAAAGAATATATTTGTTCTTTTCCATTGGCAGATGATCTCGTTGTATTAGCCTTCATTATTTTAAAATTTTTCTTTAACTAGTGGCTGACCTGAAAAACTCAAACGTCTGTTTCTCATAATTTTTTTCGGTAGTGTTGAAAAGTCATTAACATATTATTTCTTTTTCGAATTGGATTCATGTCCGACAATTATATAGTTAAGAAAATTTTACAAAAAACGGACACTTCTGTCGTTACTGATTTTAAATAATCAATTAAATGAAATAGTATTCGATAATTCCTAATTCAGTGAACTTATTGTAAATTACATACTTTGGGATAATATTATGCAAGTTGTTTCATTACCGTTGATGCTTGTTTTATTCAATTGTTGCCGTCATATGTTATTGCACAACATGCAAATGTTTTCATTTTATATGTCTTCTATGTAATATTACTGATGGAGTCGGCTCATGTCGAGTCAGTTACTTTGTACTAAATAATTCCATGAAGAGAACTATTTATCGGTGTTTTATAATACCTAAAAAATACCAAAAACAAAATTTATTTTCAGGTGAAAACTTAAATATACTTCGAAATATTTGTGAACCTTTTCACGGTTCACAGCTATTATGCCATACCATCAGGCGCTCAAATTAAGCTGCTTGAGCAACCCGACTCTATTTTTCTTAAAATAACGTTTTCAACTTCTGACATATATTTTTTTTTCGGATCTGGATCTACTCAAACTAGCTTGCAAAACGAAAAACGTAAGAAACAAGTCTGATAAGACGGTATGGGTGCAATGACTACATAGTCGTCATGAGAAATATTGACATTACATTCATGATCGAAAAATTTCGGCATACTTTATCATAATTAATCTCGTAAAATTCGGTTGATATCTATATAATTAGATCTATATTGAACTTTTCTAACTTTTGTATTTTAATTTCAATAAAAAACCTGTCGATTTTATTACATATCAAAGTGTAAAATTTCTTTAATTAATAAACCATTTTCGAAAAAAACTGGCAGAGACGGATTAGTTATACGAAAGAAATTAAATGATGATAGCGACAAATGATATGATAAAAGTAAATATAAATTATTGTCAGTTCTTATATAAATCTCGATGGAAATCAACAAAAATAAACTAATATGTTTAATGAATGAAAAGTACTGGGGAAGGAATAATCATATTTATTATCCATCTTTCAAGCTAGACGTTCAATTTCGTATATCTGCATATAACTCCGAACTCGTTATTCGTATATTTGACACTCGATTTCATATGGATAATGATTTTTGCCTTCTTCTTCGCATAGAATATTGGCAGAAAATCTCTGTAATTCAAATCTTTCGCTTCGAATATTTTCGATAATACATTCTCGTCCTCATTTGAATTTTGCGCCTTCCATCAACGTCACACAAACATTTTGATTTTTTTTCACATGACTTCTTTTTGTGCTACAGTTTTCTTTTTCGTCGTACAAACATAACTATTCGAGACATTTCAGATCAAATCATACTATTTATCGTCTTCATATGTTCCTGATTGTCTAATCCCTTGATTAAATTCATCGAAGTTATAGCTCATCGTCATTTTCGTATTTTCTGATCGGATCATCAGTTCGTTAAATATATCGATATCGTTCGTAACATTTTTTTAAAGAGCTTTTGATTTGTTACGCGTCTTTCTCTTATCAATTTTTTTTCATTTCTTATAATGTGCATTTTTTTCGTGTTTATTTCTTGCTCTTGTCTCTGTCGAATGTGTGTGGACACACATTTATGTTGGTGGGAAGCTCCCAGTTAAAGAAGAAAAGAAAAATACGGCATTTCTGTGGGTTGAAATATGCGCTTTTTACGCGACGGAAAAAGAATTTTTTTAAAAGCAAAATAGTGGAGACACCCTTCGTTGTTAGCAACTCGACTTTTTCTACAACAAAAGAGTATTTCTTCAAGTGTAAAAAGTGCATATTTTGTTTTTCGTTATTCCTATTTTTTGCTTCTTTTTCTTTCTCTTGATGTTTTTGTTCTTCATTCGAATACGATGCAACGTCAAAGAGAGGGTCCTGTCATACATCGGCTGAAATTTCGATAAAACAACTATAACTCGAAAATAATCGTCTATTAGCCCTCATCCTTTTCGGCTTTTACTGGTCTCACCAGGGTCTACTTATGCACAAAGTATCAGCTCAAAAGCGATGTATAAGCTAGTGACTCTTTCTCGTTAGCTATTTTCTTTTCTTTCTAGATCTGCAACCATCTTTCTCGTCGAAATATAACTTGTTTATTCATTGGAAAATTTCATTTCATAGCTATTGAATCTGAAAAACAAATGGCATCACTAGATTCAACAATTGTTCGTGTAGTTGATAATATAAAAAAAAGTGATAGTGACTCATGGAATTATCGTGGATTAGAACTTTCAAATGAGATGCTTGTTGTACTGATAAGTCATCCAAATATTGACAAAGCAGCTGCTGCACTTGATGTTTCAGTCGGTAATTTAGCTGATTCAAGAGATGTTCCTGGTACTGCTCATTTTCTTGAACATATGCTTTTTATGGGTAGTTCGAAAGTAAATTTTTATTTATATTTCTTAATAATCGAAATAATCATATAGAAGACTTATAGTATCCAGGTGAAAATGAATATTCAAAATTGATAGAAGGAAATGGTGGCTATAAGAATGCTTTTACTAGTGGTGATCATACAAATTATCGTTTTGATATTAATCCAAATTTATTACCCGAAGCACTAGATGTGTAAGTTTTATTAATATTTTCGTTATTTAATCAAATTAAATTTATCTATTTTAGTTTTGCACAATTTTTCATTTCACCACTTTTTTCTGCATCATCTATCGATCGAGAAATAGAGGCAGTTAATTCTGAATACGAAGGATATTTATCTAAAGATGGATGACGTGTTTCACAACTAGAAAAATCGACATCAGATCCACAACATCCCTATTCAGGATTTGTAATTGGTAATAGTGAATCATTAAGAACAACACCTAAACAACGTAGCATTGATATTCGACAAGTACTTTTGGATTTTCATAAAGCTGAATATTCATCAAATCGAATGAGTTTAGCTGTACTTGGCAATCGTATGTGATTAATTTATTAAAAATAAAATAAATATCAAATTAATTATTTAGAATCACTTGATGAACTTCAATCACTTGTTATGAAAAGTTTTAATGATGTTCCAAATAAAAAATTAAAACCAGCTAAATATCCTTCGGATCCATATGGTGAAAGTAAACGAAAAGCTAGTTTTTATTCTAATAGATTTTCGAAATTTCTTTTTTTATTTAATATTTTTTTTCTTTAAGACAATTTGTTATGTTGTTCCTGTTAAATCAACTGATTATTTAACAATAAAGTGGGTTATACCTGATCATAAAGATTTATATTATTGTAATGTAAGTATGAAACAGTTTATTATTTTATTTTAATCATCATATATTGAAGAATATCTCGATTTCATTTAGCCTGTATCATACCTTTCACACTTGATTGGACATGAAGGTGATGGTTCATTATTGTCATATTTAAAAAAGTTGGGCCTTGCTAATAAACCGGTAGCTAGAGAATATTGTTCATTTAATTTTAATTTTTTCACTATCAGTTTAGTATTAACAATCAAAGGATTACGTAAAATAAAACCGATAGCTTTATTTAATAAATGAAAAAAAACTTTTTCTTTAAAATTAGGTCGATGGGAAGAAATTATTTATATTATTTATCAATATATAGCTATGTTAAGAAAAGAAGGACCAAACGAATGGATTTTTAATGAATGCAAAGTAATATAATGTTAATCAAAAAATACATATGTTGTACTTTTGTTTTGTATTTAGAATTTAGAAGCAATGTATTTTCAATTTCGTGAAAAAGAACCAGCAAATGATTTTGTCTCAAATTTAGCGGGTCGAATGAGGGTACGTCGAACCAGTTGATAATCAATTTGTTTCTTTTCTGGCTTTTGATTTACTTTAAAGATCTTATGAGAAGAATTCCATCAGTGTTGATATAAATATAAAGACTTGAAATCTAATTTATGTACTATAAATATCAGTGAGTCTCATTTTATTTTAACAAGAAAATCAATAGAAAAACACTTTTTTGCATTGTTTGGAATTCGAAGATTCAAAATCATCATCTAAACAGTTCACTTCATTGTATGAGCTCGCGCACTCTTTTGCATCAGTTTGTTCAAATTACATGTGATCCATTCTAAAAGTTCGATCGCTTTCGTATATAAAAGGATAGAGACATAAGAATAAACAGCAAAAGGGTAGAAATTTCGTTCTCTTATCGTTCATACACTATCCATAATATATCAAAGAACGAGAAACTAACGTGAGAAATCCTTCACATAATCGTTAGAAATAACTAGTTGTATGATAACATAAGGAAAAGAATGATGAATAATTGGTATAAGATAATAAAAAGATCACTAAGAGCATTTATTAAAAGTTAACTCTCCATAGATATGTATATTTCGAAGAAATTTTCTAAGAAAACTAAATGTGTTGAATCAAGTAACGGAAAATGTCCCGACAAGTACTTCTCTTCTGTTTTTGCTGACATATTTTCCAAAGAAAATATTATCTGACAATTATTTATAACTATATAGATTGTTTAAATTTGTCTTTGAAATAAAAAATAATACAGGTCTTGTCCTTTCACTTAGTAAATATTTACTTGAAAGCTCTAGAGCTCGAATATTCTGAGGAGAGAAAAACCACTGTTCTAAACGTCCTAACATGAATAAACAGTTTTGTGATATTCAATTGTTTCGTTTTCTTCTTCAGAATTATCCATTAACTGAATGTCTTTCTGGCGATTATGAAATGCGTGAATTTCGTCCAGATTTAATAATTGAAGAACTTAATGAGTATTTAATTCCAAGTAAAATGCGGTAAATAAAGAAAAATATTTTAATTGAATAAAATTATTTCAAATTTTATTTAAGAGTATTTCTTCAAAGTAAAAAATTTACTTCGATTGCAACAGAAAAAGAAAAATGGTTTGGTACACAATATAAACAAGAATATTTACCTGAAGAACTTATTAAACGTTGTGAAACATGTGAACTTATTCCTGAACTTCATTTACCAATACCAAATAAATTTATTCCAACTGATTTTCATTTATTTTCAAAAGAACAACATTCCGCACGACCACAATTACCAATAAAAATAAAAGTAAAATAAAAATATAGTTTTGAAATATTTATTTTTTTTGTATTAAAGGAAAATGAATTTTGTCGACTTTTTTATGGTGAAGATACATTTTATAGATTACCTAAAGCATATCTTTATTTTGAATTACGAAAGTAAGATTGAAATTTATTATTTTATTTAAAAGTTAAATTTTGTGTCTTCAGTTCGTTAGGATGTGCAGATCCATTACATTCTAGTATGAATGCACTTTATGCTGGATTAGTTAAAGATTCTTTAACTGAGATTGTTTATCCAGCCCAACTTGGTGGATTACATTATGAATTATTTGATTTAAAATATGGTATACAGGTAAATCAATATTAATTTCTAGTAGGAAACAAAAAAAAAGACATAAATATTCATTCTTAAGTTAACTGTATATGGATTTAATCATAAAATTAAACAATTACTTGAAACGATTATTGATTGTATGGTTAATATTAAAGTTGATCCTCAACGATTTGAAATATTAAAAGAAAAAGTAATTGAATTAATAATTTATTAAAATTTATTGAAATATTTCTTTTGTTAGCTTAAAGCATCGTTAAAATCTTTTCCTGAGCGTGATCCTTGGGAAATGGCACATTATGGTCTTAAATATTTAACAGCTGAACATCAATGGAATTATGGTGAATTACTTAGTTGTATTGATAGTATGGTTAAAAACAAAAAATACAATAAGAATAAAAAAGTTTTCTTTACTTTTTAAAGATATCACAGTACATAATCTAGATTCATTTATAACACAGATGTTAACTCGTTTTTTTACGGATTCATTAATGTATGGAAATTTAACAGAAGATGTAAGTAGAAACTGAGACTAATATCGATTTATTCAAATATTCAATTATTTTTACGCAAAACTATAGATCAAGACATGATATCAAACTCATCTATCTCTGGGAGATTTACCGATGATAAATATACGAAACTTGTTTTCGTGAAAGAAATTAGTTATCAATTAGATCATAACCTTGAGTTTTAATTCTTCCAATTAATTGTCATAGAAGAAGCTTATATATGTTCTTTATTTAACTTTCATTTTAAATTTTCTTTCTAGCATGCACTTGAATATATGAATTTATTTGTACAAAAATTCCAAGAAAAACATTTTTATCAACTACTTTTCCCCGGTATGTGGTTTAATCAACGTGAATTAACATTACCAGAAGGTTAGTCCTATATATATTGGATTTTCTAAACATATTATTTACTTTTATTATTAAGTTGTAATTATGCATATAAAATGCTTAATGATGCTCATAAAATATATGCTATTGAAATATATTTACAATGTTTTCAACAAACACTTGAAAATACTGCTTTACTTGAATTATTTTGTCATCTCGTTCATGAACGTTGTTATGATCAATTAAGAACAAAAGAACAATTAGGTTATAGTGTTAGTTCTGGTGCACATCGTTCACTTGGTGGTATACAAGGTTTTAGTGTTGCTGTGCAATCGCCTAAAAACCTTGATCATGTTAATCAACGTATTGAATTATTCATTGATTCAATAAGAGTACGTAGAATCTAAATAATGAAAAATATCCTAAATATCATACAGGAGAAGTTCACAAAATAAACTACGACAAAGTCACACTTCTGTAATATTTTTTATGGTTTGTATCTTATTACATATTGTATTAATACATGTTTCATGATCTGAACCATTTATAAATATGTGTGATGTCTAAAAAAGAACAAAATCTTTTTATTCATAAAATGAATTATTTCAGAATGGTTTGATTAAACAAATGAATGTTGTTTGTCTTTGGTTGCCTAAAATAGACGTAGTTCTGATTAATTTGGTTGACAATATAACTTGCTAATGAATACTTTTAGGTCTACTTTTGTATGAAATCTAATATAACTGGATTTAGATCGGATTGCCTTTTAACTAATATTTAATACTTTTTTTATGCTAATTGTCGGACACAAAAGAAATCAATATTTATTGGTTACGCTCCGAATATAAGTTAATATCAACCTTTTGTTATATTTCTTCCTAATGTGATATTATTAAGGATAATTTTATTCCGATGTTTTTATATTTGACAATTGAATTGATTTTCAAAAAGAAATTACTTAAAGAAAGTTACATAGAATCTTTTATTTTAATAGGATTATATTTCGAATATGCCTGATCATGTATTTAAAAAACAGCGTGAAGGTTATGTGGTAAAAAAAGTCGAAATTCCAAAGGGAATGTATGATCAAGTACATAAATTTTGGTATGAAATAACCAGTCATCAATTTTGTTTCGATCGACGTAAGTTATTACAAAAATTCATTTTATTTCTTTCAATATCAACAAAATTTATTTAGCTCAACTTGAAGTTGAAATAATAAAATCTTTGGAACGTACTGATTTACTTCATTTTTATGATCATTATATATCATTAAATTCTATTCACCGTCGTAAATTATCTGTTCATGTTAATTCATCTGCAACAGCATTACAAAGAATAGATGATGAAGAACCTATCATTGACGAAGAAACTGAATTAGCAGCTGTTCTTGATGAAGAATTACCTTCGCCCACTGATGAAGAAAATACTGAAAAAATAATTGAAGGAGCTGTTGAACATACAGTTAAATTAACTGAACAATCGCCTATTATTGATACAATAACTGATAAAGATTCTAAAGAAAAAGAAAATATTATATCTGAAAAACAAATTAATTTACCAAAAGTAAATCAATTATTAATGAATACTTGTTGAAATATTTATCTGTTTCTAGGAAGAATGGATTGATAATGTTTATGTATGGAAAAGTAAAATGCCATGTTATCCACTTGCTCAATCATATGAAAACATTGACATACCAGTTCTCCACAGATTATAAACAGAGTTTTTATAATCATCATGTTTCTTTTTAAAATCTTGCTTTACTTTTAAATATTTAATCGTCTAATCAAGATTTATCATATAAAATAAATATTGTTCGTAAATCATTTATATAATTGATTTGATTATTTTTAATAAAAAAACAGAGAATATCGGAAGATAATTCTAAAAGTTCATATCGATGTAATTCAAGAATAAACTGTTCAATAATACCATTTGTTTTTCGATCAATTAATTGATTATTTTCGATCTTTAATTGTTTTGGATCAATAAATAAACATGGTTGAAAATATTTTTTTATCCGATATTGTTGAAATAAATGGGTGGGTGTGGGTGTGGGTATGGGACTGTGACTGTGGGTATGGGTGTAAGAGCATTAGTATTAAAGCACCCACACCCGCGCCCACACCCACACCGACACCCAAACCCCACACCCACAGTCATGGTCCCACACCCTCCAGATTTATAGGGTATTTCGTAAAATGCTTATAAAACACCGAGGACTCAATATGTTTTTGAGGCGGCTTTCGCTAAAAAGCTCAGAATACTACCCTCTACAACATATCTTAAAATGAATAAAATCAGACGACTTCGCTTGAACACGTAATGTGTATTTTGATCGTGGCTTACATGGAATGGCTCATATACAATTTGCTCTTGAATGTATCACAGCGTAAAATCCTATGTTTTGTGCTTTTTTTCACCTAGTATGAATTGTCTTATTGATCGTTGCATATCAATGGCAGATTTAGAGCGTGGCGATCGCTTCCATTCGGAAATCTTTCTGTCGACGTTTCTGAGCAAAAAAAGGCTAAAAGAATGAGCTGATATTGTTCCAAACTAGGTTCAAGATATGCTTTTTGATAACTCTTAGATCTGTCTCTGCCTCACAGTTTGAGTTCAATTAACATTTAGTGAAGCAATAAAAGAAGATTACACCAAAAGTCAAAGAAATATTGCTTTGTTGTATTGGTTACATATTTCTTCGCGTTACAACAGAAAAAAAATGATTAAAATAGATGGGACGAAAAGAATAATTTTTTTCAATTTGCGCGTTTATGTTCAAATAAATAGTCTTTATAGTGAATCAATGGAGATCATCATAATGAGGCTTGTTTTATGAACCAGATGAGCCCGATCGTGATGAATGTCTTCCGTGTTTTTTGCCATGTTTCTCATGTTTATGGTGGCCATGTCCACGCCCACGCCCACGTCCATGTCCACGTCCACCACCTCTGTCAGGTGAATCTCGGCTATCGCTTCTGTCACTGTCGCGCTTTTTATTTTTATTTTGCTTATCATCATCATCACTATCACGGTTTTTATCCTTCTTTCGCTCCTTCTCCTTTTTCCGTTGGTCATCATCATCACTATCACGATTCTTATCCTTCTTTCGCTCCTTGTCCTTTTTCCGTTGGTCATCATCATCACTATCACGATTCTTATCCTTCTTTCGTCCCTTGTCCTTTTTTCGTTGGTCATCATCATCATCATCACTATCACGGTTTTTATCCTTCTTTCGCTCCTTGTCCTTTTTCCGTTGGTCATCATCATCATCATCACTATCACGATTCTTATCCTTCTTTCGCTCCTTGTCCTTTTTTGGTTTGTCATCGTCACCATCCGAGTCTTTGTTTCGTTCACCATCCTTATCTTCACTTTCCTTCTTTTTTTTTTGATATTTTTTTGCTAATTTCCATGCTTGTTCAGCGGTAATCTTTTTGTCTTTGCCAAATTTCTTTTCAAAATCAGCTATAAATTCATCTTGCGAATCATCATTTGACGCCATAGTTAATTATGTTTACTATGTTTTTCGGTTTTTTCTAAGAAAAAAAAGAATAATAATGTATGTACCAATACATTCAGGTAGTATATAGGTACGCCATAGCGTTTATGATTGCGTTGAATGAATAATAAGAGAGAGAGATGAGTAAGAAAAAAATTATCCTACTCATTAAATATTGATCTAATATTAATATTTGAGTAGAAAGAAAAACGATGACAAATATGCATCGAAATCCTTTTTTTTCCTCTTTCTATGCTTCGTTGCGTTAGATTGTATTACACACTTCGTTATTCGTACGTGAATAAGAGAGGGTTGAGGCATACGATGAAAAATGAAAATAAAATATACATATTTAAATAACTGTGTAAACGAGATAGTTGATAAATAAGATATCGATCCAATTGTTGTTGTTGCGTGTCGTAGTAAATGAGTAATTCGAAACGGTTTAGATTTTAATAGATAAAAAAATAATGAACGACAGTATAATATCCATCTGATGTATGTTTGAGTGTAAACATCCGTTATTGTCACATTGCGCGAGGAAAGTAGGCAAAACAATAAATCATTTTCATGTTCGAACTCTTTTTATAGGACAAACCTCAATAAGATCTGAAAAGTCTCTAAAGAATAAATTTTTCTGGTGTACTTTATAAAGGTATAACTACCTTCTCATAGGCATGCTCCATTGTATCATCGTTTCATAGATTTTTAAAAGTAGATACTAGAGTAATCAACCATGAGTATACTTTACCTTAGTATACAATGATTTGGTAGTATCAATTTCTCTTAAGTGTTTTTTTTGCATATTTCATTATTGCACATGTTTTTCTTTATATTGAAAATATGCATTTCGAATGCATAAAGATACACATTCAAAACAACTTTACTTTTACGTAGCTGTCAATCTAATTTTGATATTTGCTTAATTTTTCATTGCATTCATTTTATGTGTAATCCTACGCGAGAGAGAGAGAGAAAAAAGTATCATGTGCATAATTGCTTATTTATAAAAAACAAACATAATGAATGGAGTTTTTGTTCTTACGAATTGTTACATAGTGATAAATTATAAACAGTCAATACGATATTGTGAAAATATAAATAGGAAGAACTATATCAATTAGAAATATATAAACCAGAATAAAATAATGAAAATTTGCACTTTATCTTACAAAGACATAGTTTTGTTATTTACAGATGCAAGGGGGTAAGGGCTGGCACCCAGCATTCAGCACCTCAATACCTGCTCAGCACCTGAGCACCCGTACAGCACCTCAGCACCTGTTAGGTGTTTTTCGTTGCTGGGTGCCAGCTATTACCCCCTTCATTTTACTCCATTTAGACCTATGAGCATAGAATTATAGAAAAATTTGACTGATCGAATTTCGCCCCAAGATAGGTCCTACATTTTTAAAAAATAGGTTTCGCAATTTTTAAACGAAATTGTTCATAAGTTCGGTACAGTGGCTTATAGTTTCATACATCAAGTAGGAATTCTCTGATATTTTGCTAAAATAAAAGGATGCGAGTGTCGGTATGCGTATAACATTAAACTCTCAGCTTCAACCTCACCTACACACTCACATCCGGTTAACCTTCATTTATTTGCTGACATTGATACTGACAAAACAATAATTGACTTTTTGCAAAAATAAAATGACAATAAAAGAAAATGTAAAGTTTAGTGTTGTGAGAGCCCATGTAAACACGAGAAGCAGATCAAAGGCATTCATTCATATTTATGGTTGGCTCTTGGCGGCGTCTGAGCAGTCATCCTATTCCGCAATGTTGAACATTTTAGGAACCAGTTCCGCTCCGGAATCGATTCCGTTCAATTCCGGGAACTCGATCGACACATAATATCCGATACCCACTCGAAAATTGATCGAGTTCCGTATAATTCCGGAATTGGTAGGAATTCCGTATAATTCCGGAATTGGTAGGAATTCCGTATAATTCCGGAATTGGTAGGAATTCCGTGTAATTGCGTAATTAGAAGTAGTTCACGCAATTCCGGAATCGGTGGGAATCGGTAGGAATTCCCAGGAATTCCGTCCAATTCCACTGAATTCCGTCTTGGTGCAATTCCCGGAATTCCGCAACGGAATTGGATAGTATTCAAACGAGATAACTTATCAACACAACACAACAAATGTGGGTGAGGTGGATGGTGTGATAACTTATCAGTACAACACAATAAGTGTGGGTGAGGTGGATGGTGTGATTCCGGTACGGAATTCCGGAATCGGAACCATTTCCCGCAATTCCGGAATCGGTGGGAATTGGTAGGAATTCCGTGAAATTCCGGAATCGGTCGAACTCGATCAATCTCGACTGGGTGTCTTATGTTGTGTGTCGATCGAATTCCCGGAATTGGACGGAATCGATGCCGGTGCGGAACTGATTCCTTCAATGTTCAACATCGCGGAATAGGATGCATTCTCCGGCGTCTACACGCGTCTGTACCACGAACATGATCTGTTTCTATATCACGTCGAAATTCATCTTTCCAAATTTGATTAATTTGATCACATGATTTTTTCATGATTTTATCTCCAATAATCGGCCAAGGATTATGATAAATAACATAACCAACAAGACGACGACAATCAGCTACATAATCTAATGGCTGTTGCATATGCGTACGCCAAATGATATCGATCTGAAATAAACGAACAAAACTTAAATTTTTTAATAGTCCAATATTTACTGCGGGTGTGGGTGGTATAACGCCATTTTTATTCTTCATTGGATGTTTAGCTGCCATATATAAAAATCTTTCATAAGATTTCATCAATGGTTCCAATACTTCCGGTTCTAAACTAATATATGTTGGGTAATGAACGAAACCCTCATTACCCATTGAAAGCTTGTTTGCACGAGATATATATTGTTTACATAAATAAAGCCATTTCCAATCACTAAGGATGTCATCGGTAGTAAATGAAAAAGGATTTTTATAATCTTTTGGTGGTTTTGGTAAAAATTCATAAAACGTTTCATCCCAATAAGAATAAACTTCATTATCGCAAAACAATGATGAAATATGATCGTTTCCGCACCCTACTGGATTTCTCTTTCTACATGATGATAATGAGCAATAATGTTTCCCGAATCGTTGTTCATACAATTCATATGTATCTAAAAACGCCTGTGCTTTATTAGTAGATGCATGATTATAATTATTATGAAGCAATGAATGATCAATAACAAAACCAAATAAACGAATACAATCATTTCGATACATTTTAGGTCGAAGTAAATGAGTCTGCCAAACAATTTCAATATCTAATGTAGGAATTAGAAGAGTATCTGATTTATTAGATGCTTTTAATTGCATAAATCGATAATATCTTGCTATCATTTGTTTTAATATATGTAATTGTTCCCATTGTTGTTGAAAACAAGATGCTTTTTTCAATAATAATATCAAATGAGGAGCTGTTGTATTAATATCAACTGATAGACGGATTTCCCTAACAAATTAAAACAGATATACATATAACGAGTATCTCATTTTTGCTACAAGCAATCTTTTCCTTTATTAACCCTTTCGCTTCCGCATTATTTTTCGTTGGATTGAATTCAAGTAAATCGTTGAATTAGCTTCTTCTAGACATAAGAGTATATGTTAGACATATCTCATGTGTTCCCACAGGTGATTAGTCGATTTACGCAATATCAGTTACATTGAACTCTATTAGGCTGAACGACAGTTTTAACTGTTGAAGTTTATTAATTGCAAAACTTATACAGTGTTTTCATGAAATAACAAAAAACAATTTTTATGCTGTTTTACACATAAAGAAATAACACAAAAATTGCATTTTATGTTACTAAATGTCGGACGAGCTTTAGTACTGCAATATCCACACCTTTCTTTAGGTCTAGTAACAGGCATATGTGCTAATAATGGAGTTAATAAAGATTTGCTCTTCGTTGTCATTTGAATTATAATATCCAGAGGAAGAGAAGGGTGGAATGGAAGATGTGAAGGCGGCGTATATGGCACAGGTATTTCGAAAAGATCCTAGGACGCTCTCTATTACTTCCTTTCAAAAGATTATGTACTAATTTTTATGAATTACATTATGAGAAATATAAAAAAAACAGGTGTAGCTTTTTTGATACCGGGGAAGCGAAAGGGTTAACCAACTTGTATTCTAAAATATAATAAACCATATATAAAATATTTGAATTCATGTATTCAGAAAGCGCTTCAGGAGAACTTCATTCGTGTGGATAACGACAAAAATCTCTGAGGGGAGAGCAAACTCTCTCAGCTTGAATGAAACCCATGAAATACTTCAATTCAACTTTCTAGTTTGACTGTATTGATAACGATGGAGCAAAATATAGTTATATTAGATTTACAAAAGATAAATAAAATGTAATTCTAAATTTATTAATTTTAATTTGTAAATGGTGAAATTTTGAGAAAGTATCAACTCGTAACGGTCGGTTACGAAAGTCCAGTGTTTTTTTAAGTTTTACTGGGCTTTCGTATCGCCTTATTGACAGGGCTTTCGTAATCAAAACTTAATGCACTTTCTTATCGATTTTACAGGGATATCGTATCAGTTTTGACAGGGCTTTCGTATCACATTGACAAAGTGTACCTATAAATTCTACAGGACCTTCATATCGTTTTTTGCAGGGTCTTCGTACCGCTCGTACAGGATTATCGTAAAGCTAAAAATGTTAATATTATCTCAAATTAAATACTATTAACAGAGTTTTCGTATTGATGTAAGTATTTTATCAAAGTAACCATGAGCAAAGTTCAAGAGCAGCAAGAAAGAACCAGAATATAGATGAACACATCTTAATCTTTTTTAAAATTTATTTCCTAACAACACAAAGAAGATATGAAGAACAAAAAATAACACAACAACAAAAAGACTTTTTATTCGTTACGAATGGATCGTACTTACTAACTAAACATATATATATATATATATATATGCTCTCAAGGGTATTCGCAACGAATACCTTGTTTTCTTATGGAGTATTAGTCTTTTAGCTTACGTATCAATGCAATAAAAAATTCGTTACGAATGCTCTGTTAAAACTCGGTACGAAAGCCCAGTTAAACTCAGGTACGAAAGTCCTGTTAAAAAAACATGACAGGGCTTTCGGGTTACGAAAGCCCGGTAAATTCCACTGTTACGAGTTGATATTTCCCCGAAATTTTCAACAAAAATAAATTTACTTACATTTTTTCCGATGAGCTTGGATGGTCTGTAAATCCACCTGCACGTTTAAACTTATACTCAGTTCTCTGTAAATTAGGATGCGCAGAAGCTGGTAACATCAGACATAATGGTATAGTGTTACAGTGTCTGTGTAGCATCGTTAACTTGAGGTTTGTGAAAGATTGGTGACATATCCATTGAATATAAATCTGTTTATATGAAGATGAATTCGATTTTATTGCTTCGACTTAATAATAGTTATTTAGATATTAATATAAATTATAAAAAGAAAAAACAAATATTTTCACTTACTATTACATTTTGATTTCCATATTTCATCATCATCAGCAATCATTTTAAAAGATCGACAAACCAGAGAAACATTATCAAGATCAGGTACAGAAAGAAACTGAAATACATTTATAATAATTTCATTAGCAATGTTGGCAAATGGAGATTTTGAAAGAGCCTCTCGTGTCTCTTCCCATGGCCATGATAAATTTATATTGCACTCCTCTTCTTTCTCTTCTTTTAGTTTAGTCAAAGTACGTCGACTTGGTTGTTTCTTTCCACAACAAAATAATTTTGCCATTATGAAATTTAAACAAAAATCTCACTTATATTGTCAATCGTAATTTATCTATTTAATATTAATTTAATAAATAAATATATTGTTTATCGTTGTGTTAACCAATGAGAAAATATTTTTAATATTTGCAAAAACATCTGTCAAATATGATAAAGTATAATTTTTCGAAGAATTATTGATAGCATTATAAATAATATATTTGTATAAATAAAAATTCTTCTATTTTTATCATCGTAGATGGAAACATAAGAAACACATCTGACTAATGATATTTCTTTGTTTCCTCTTGCATTAATACATTGTAATTGTCTGTATGGCGTCGTATTTCTTGTTGTGAGTCACAAGGTTTTTTTTCTTTCCTTTTACTATATACACAATAATGTTCAGTGCTTTTAATATGTCAGGTAAACTAGCTCTAGTCATAAATGTAACAGGAACGGTCTATAGATTCTTTTTCTTTCCATTCTTACTTCTCGATCATGGATGACTCATTTTATACAACTAAAACTTCCAGAGAAAGTCAAATCACCTTACTTCTGACCCATGATACAAATAGCTACCCAGACAGACAGAGATTTACATAGGGTGGTCAAAAAGTATTGCAACCTCTCTATATTTATTCACAGAAACAACGCTTTATCTATCTTTCTACATAATATATTAGAGATAGTTGTTCTAATATTTTATGGAAAGTATCAGTCTTCTAACACATTGATGAGATGTTCTCTGAAATAAACTATAGGTATAAAAATGACATGCCTGGATAAAACCCCTGCTAACTTATTGTAGCTGGTGATTGTTTAGCCTATGTTGAATACACTTGAACAACTAAGATTTGGGTGTGGGTTTGTGACGGATATAGCACTCATACCAACACCCACATCCACCCTAAAACCTTGATTCTATTCTAAAAATTTTATTTTTAACATGAACGAATCGCTTTGTTGTATACTTGAGAGTGTGGTCGTACTAAGAATAAAATTGAACTTGTTTTAATTAACTACTGGGACAATGCTAGTTTGTTTGTATCGATGATACTCTGCTTAGAGATTTGTTTTTGTTCATCGTAGTTTTCAAAAATGATCCGAATATAAAATGAATTCTGCAACGTTATTCTTTATATATACATCGTCATTTCTTATCATACAATGACAATATAAGAAAAAAGATTGTTTTGACGTCATACAACCTTGAGATAATAAAACACCTACGACGAACTCTCTGTCCCATGTTCTTACGACAGAACGAAAATATATATGGTTGCTTTGAGATTTTGTATTAATTGATTCACTTTGGTTGAATTTTTTAATGTTTGATCCAAGAATTTTTAAATAAAATTAAAGAAGTGGAACAAATGTTTATTTTGATTCTGTTTTCTCATCTAGTGGATAGTGAATCATTATTTTCGACGTGATCAATCTCGTAATCGTGCTATATCCAATGAAATTGCTAGATGAAATCAGACAAATATCATGCGTGTCTAATCAATATTACTGATTTAATACGTTCATCATCATTAATAAGCATGAAAATATCTTGCACTCAACCACTTCATACAATCGCGGATCGAATATTTATTATAATTAGGTACGATATCGAATAATATTGATGGTTCATCTCCTGTATCATTTTCACTAAATATCATAATTGTTCATTTATAGGAATAATATACACTTACTATTGAAATTGCTTATATATAACCTTTACTTTACATAGATATTGTCAATTTTGGTGACAGGTTTTCTAGTATATATCAAGTTAAAAGTATATTATGAATTATAAACATATTCTTTCTTTCGAATAGATATTATATATAAATTGACTATGGATTGGACATTCTCACTTAATCAACAAACCATGTATTTTATTATCGTGTATTGTACGATTAATCGAACAAAGTAGTAATATCTTGATAGTTTCTCTTTCAATTCAAAGGCGCTATTTTGAATAATAGAAAGAATATTAGTTGAAGAGAGACGTCTTACATTGTACAAGGCCTAATAGATGAATTTTAATATTATATCTCTGAAATAGAATTAATCATAATATAAAATGAATGCCGTATATTTGTTTCCGTGAAAAACTTTTATTATTAAAAAAAACACAAAAATCAATCAAAATTTGTTTTTCTAAAAATATAACGAAAACTATGTTAACAATCGTAGGGTGAAAACATTGATTGTTGCTTATACTTGACAAACAATAATTAAGAATCGTGAAAGAGGATAACTACTCGTTATACATTGATTAACATTCCAGTATCCATGCTGTAAATATTATGATTATATTTTTTGTAAGACATTGTAGGAAAATTTATTTATCTTGAGTATTTAACATCAGAATGATTCATAAGATAAATGTCATTTATCAGGTAGATTTTAAGAATTTCCAACAGTAAATATCTACATCCATTGATGATTTATTTCCAGAGGTGCAGAATCTTCCTTTTGCGCCCCCGGCCGGGGGGGGAAATTTTTTGAAAATTGCTATACTGGGGGAAATTTTTGAAAATTATTATACTAGGGAAGTTTTTGAAAATTATTGTGCTAGGGAAATTTTTGAAAATTATTGTACTAGGGAAATTTTTGAAAATTATTGTACTAGGGAAATTTTGGAGAAAAGTATTAAGAAAGGAAATCTTATTCTCCTCATAATTAACGATAGAATATAAATCATTCTTTTGGATGTAAAGAAGAAGGAGAATTTGTACAGAGGGAAAATGAAGAACCCGACGAAATAACACTAAAATCAACACATTTATCCTTCAACTACAATGATCTACTTCGTGGAGAATTCCAAGGGAGACCAATAATGCGTAAAGCTGCTGAACACGATTTAGATGATCCTACATTCTACTTGAGTGAGAAATTAATTGATTTTTGCCAAGCATTATGTACTTCAATTGACACTCGATTCAAAGAAGCTCCTGCTATATTCGAAACAATGGGAAATTGCCTTGACGTTGCAGCACTGTATCAACAAGCCGTTTTAGACAAACAAGAGGATGTGCTTCAGTATGAACAGTCATCGTTTCAAACTCTACTTGAGTTTACCAAGAACAACAGCAAACATATCAAAATCGACAATATTTTACTCAATGGTCAATATCTAGAGTGGAAGGAACGATGTTTGAAAGAATTGAAAGACAAAGAAAATTGGAATGTTTGGACAAAAGATGATAGAATTGCAACGACAAAGGTGATGAAATCTTTCTTCACGAACAAAGATCTGGCCAATGGTCTCGAACAGTTTCTACATTTCTATTCTCTGATGGTTGTCAAAATCAGATGCGAAGCTGTCTGCGAGAGTGCTGCTTCAATCTTAAAGCAACACATTCATAGCAATCGAGTTCTGGATCACGAATCTTTAGATGAAGAAGTGATGTTACATTGGAATGCACCACCGCTTCATCTAGCAGATCTATTCATCAAGTCCTCACTAGACAACTACTTCTTTCAATTAAAAGATAAAAACTGGATTTTCTTCAAAAAAACAGACCGGCTATTCAAATTAGTTTCGGCTGGTTCGGTTGTTTTGAACCGCCTGAGAAAAGAACAAGTAGAAAGAATTCCTATGTTGTACGAATAATAACGAACAGAACAAAATGTTGCCATGTTTTTTTTATTTATTTTTTTTTGTGAAATAAAGTTAGTCGGTGAGCGATGAAGATAAAACATCTTGGGGAAATTTTCAGAAAAAAATTTTCCGGGGGGGGGAAATTTTTTATTTTTTGGAAGATTCTGCACCTCTGTTTATTTCTCATTAGTAGTAAAACAGATGCTAAAAAAAGAACGAGCAACAATTTTGTGATTATTATGATATATCCTTAAATAAATCGTTGACTACCTGTCATTTCTCTCATATACTGTTTTATCGAGCCAGTAATAAAACTACTTTCAATCTGTTCTTCTTACTCACATGCATGATTATACTTTTTGTTTGATAACATGTTGACAATCAGAATCAAAGCCGAGTGTTTGTCAAGGTGATAATCTGTTGAATAAAAGAATCGTAAAAGAAACGGCACGTTGGTAACTTCAATATGATCGTGAAAACATGAGAGAAAATAAGTTTTTTCGAATGGGGTATCACAAAATGAATAAATAACTAAAGAGCAGATTAATTTATTCAAGAACATAAATTACACAATATTTCCTGGAGAAAAATATCGATTATCTGTTTAATGTATCAATTTGCTATTACTCATCATCTTAAATGACATTAATACTAATAATGAAGAAGTAAAATTTTCTTGAATTAAGAGTAAAAAGTATAAAATTATATTAGCAAATCTATCTATACATGTTTACCTGGTACTGATAAGAATTAGTTGATTCAGAATTAATTTCACAACGTGTGCTTCTTTATCAATCGTTTTATTATTTATTTATTACGCATTCGCCTACATCAGATAGTAACTAGCAACACTGTTATCTTCGTTGAGTGACTCAATTTGTGCGTAGATGGTGCAAGACAAAGACGTCATAAAACGTTAATATAAAAACAAACCGTTTGCTCTCATTCTCCATACTCACATTTTCACTTAAAATTTGATTTTTACTTATTAATATTTTTACAATGAATACCTGGTACGCAATTTTGTCTATGTTGGTGATATATATTGGTAAGAATAAATTGAAATTGTCAAAACTATCATTAAAATAACATTTGAATATTTATCATAGGTGTTGCTGAATGTAACAATAATACGATACAAGTATCCAGTGAACGTGCCGCTTCATATTGTTATTTTTGTGGTGCAAATTGTCCACGACCATTCTATCCGTCAAGCCCTTATGTTAGCCAAGTTCGTTCAACTACAGGCTGGTGTGTGGTAAGTTAATTTTATCTTTAATTTATATTATTCTAATACTTTGAATGGTTAATTTATTTATAGTCAATGACCACTGCCACTACATCTTATCCTTATACGCTTGGCGTTGCTGTACCCAATCTTTGCACTTCCAATGGTTGTTCATGGAAGATATATAGCGGAGTCAATACATGGGTGTGTTGTTGTAATAACAATCTATGCAACGTAGGTTTTCAACCAGCAACGACCCCTAGACCTAGTGTGAATACCTGTTACTTTTGTTCAACTTGTCCACGCCCGTTCGATCGGTACAGTTCATTAGTCACTGAAGTTTCTTCCAGCAATGGATGGTGTGCTGTAAGTATTTTTCTTTACAATTTCTATGACAGAATCCCTTACAGATTATAAATTTCTTTACAGAAAATGAGCCTTGCAAGTTCGCGTGATGCAGTTGCCACTCGCGGTCCAGCTGCAACAGGTGTCTGCACTTCGAGAGGATGCTCATGGAAGCTATACAATGGAGTTAACACATATATATGTTGCTGTAATGGATTTAGATGTAATACCGGTGTTTCTGCAACAAAATCAACTATCGGTTTATTGAGTGCTGCATTAATGATGATCGTCATGGCTCGCAAGAATTTTTAATTTTTTTATATCTTAATTTACATGATACAGTCGTTTATATATTGAATATAAATGAAGTGCTGATTATTTTTTTACTTATTATTATTTTTTTGTGAATTTATATCAGAACAAAATCAATTATAAAAGAAAATATAATTTTGAATTTCGATTCACTTATATTTATTTAACTATGTGTTCTTCTCTATATAACAACATAATAATTAGACCAAGAGATAACATTAAGGACAAAAAGCAAGTCATATAAGTAACGAAGATAAGAAAAGAAAAAAAATCCATGGCGTATATCTAACATCAAAGTATAAAACAGATGTGCATCACAAATAAATGTTTTTGAAAAATTTGCATTTCTATTGGATTTAAGTCATAGGTAGAAAGAAAGAAAAATCTTTCACGATAATTAGTCAAATGTATTCAGATTGTTGTATGTCTATATATAAATGTAATCTACAGATTTAGAAGCTTTAAAACTGGGTTATATGATGGAAATCGGCGATAGTATAAGATGCATATGTCACAATTAAAAATAGGAGTGAATTTATTCTGTTTGATTCATATAAAGATGAGTTTGTTTCAGTGCAATTTGGTATTATGAAAAGGCTTTTGATTTGATAAGAAAAGTTCATTTTACATCGAAAATATTTTATATTAAAATACAGCGTTAGAACATTTTTATTGACATTAATCAAGATAACCTTCTAAGTAAATGAATGTAAAATATTAATAAGATATAAATATCGTGGATTAAACTATTTTTAGAGGATGAGAATGAGGTAAGGATTTTTACTGAATATTTTTCGTACTTAAATAATAAACATAAAATATGAATATTCTGTTTATTGATACATGTGCTATCGAATCTCCACGTGATATTTATTACATTACTCAAGGATGTATTATTGCTCTCTCTTTAAACAAGCAGAACGTTAAAAAATAGTTGGTTGTGTATATGCAATGATCGAGATAGTTGTGCATGAATGCATCATCAATATAAATATACTGTTCTCACTTATTTATAGATATCTAATTGATCAAATTACCTTCACACTCAAAGACAATTTAGAAATATATATGCATTGACATAATAACACAATACGTATATTTTAAAAGTAACAAGGTGAAGATAAAAATTTTTCATAGGTTTTGTCGTTATAATTTGTCCATGATGATCTCATCTTATATTATTACAATTATATCATTAATGATCGTGACCATTCCTGTCACTAGGCAATCATCATCAGTAGCTGGTCTTGGTCGAATCGACTGTTATCCTGATGCCGAAGCAAAATATTCTAATTTCTCAAAAGAAGCCTGTTTAGCACGCCACTGTCTGTTTGATGACACTGTTAATTTAACTGGTATTCCATGTTACTTTCAACCTAATTATGGTTACTTATTGCAAGGAAATGAAGAACAAATAGAAAATGGAAAACGACTACGTCTAAAGCGCAATCAGGCAGTGACAAGCCCGTTTCCAGAACCGATCGAGAATGTCATACTTGATGTTCAGTATTATACCGACGATATCATTAGATTCAAATTATACGATGCTGATCATCAACGATACGAAGTTAGATCGAAAATTAATAAATTTCACTAGATATGATCATTCTCTTTTTTCCAGGTACCAATTCCATTAAAAGCCTCTACCGGTCAAACAACATCAGCTCAGTATGAGTTCATTTATTCATCTGATAGTTCTAATGACAATATTCTATCATTTGCGATCAAACGTCGTGTAAATCAAACAACTCTGTTCGATACATCCATCGGTGGTCTTGTACTTAACAATCAATTTCTTCAAATCGTCTCTCGACTTCAATCACCACATGTGTATGGATTCGGAGAGAATAATCATTTGACACTGAAACATAATGTTTCTACGCGTCAAATATGGGGCATTTTCGGTCGAGATCAAGGTACGTGCTGTACACAGACCATTAATCTATTTTTAATAACCTGATTTAATTCATTATTTGAAAAATATCTTGTTTTAGCTACTACTTGGAATACAAATGCAAATCATTATGGAACACATCCCTTCTACCTTGTGATGGAACAAATACCCAATTCAAATGAAACACCATCAGGTCAGATGCACGGTGTTCTTTTGCTCAATTCCAATGCGATGGATTATTCATTTGGACCTGATCCATCAGTTACTATCCGTACTATTGGTGGTATTCTCGATTTTTCGTTTTTCTGGGTCCTGCACCGGAGCAAGTCATTCACCAATATACTTGGCTGATTGGTCGACCTGTAATGCCACCATATTGGTCGCTTGGCTTCCATCTTTGCCGCTGGGGTTATGGAAACTTGACACATATGCAAACAGTAAATCAACGAAATCGAGATGCAGGTGTTCCAATCGATGTTCAATATGCTGATATTGATTATATGGATGCAAATAAAATATTCACAATCGATCCTGTCAATTACCGTGGTTTGAGAGAATACTTTTTACAACTGAATACTAATGGCATAAGAATCATTATCATGTTGGATCCGTTCACGATCGATGATCAAAAGTACTACACTCCAACCATTGAAGGGATCAAACAGGATGTTTTTATTAAATGGGAAAATGGATCTTTAATGAAAGGCGCTTGTTGGCCAGGTGAAGTTTTCTCTCCAGGTAGAAGCTAATCTTTCGAAAAGGAGACATATAATTGTTTTTTTTTATAATAATAGATTTTTTTACCAATCGAACACACATTTGGTGGGCACAGATGATCACAGATTTTCGTCGTGTTAACTTGACTTTTGATGGAGTTTGGCTCGATATGAATGAACCGGGTAAGTATTTTTGTGAACAATATTTAGTTAAAATATGTAACTTTTTACCTAGCTATGTTTGGTACAAATGAGGATGCACCATGGAATTGGAATATAACTAGAAGCAATCATACATTAAAATGTCCGCTAAGCACTTGGGATGATCCACCTTATCGTACGAAGGCGGTATTTCGTTACGATGAATCAGTGAATCGAACTTCACGTCTCTCCGATCATACTCTTTGTATGTCTGCTATACAGGGTGAAATTGATTCAGAGACAGGCAAAGCGATGTATCGTCATTATGATGTACACAGGTAAAATGTCCAATCTTGTTTGGTTTTACTTCGCAATTTGCTATAATGTTGTCTCTTTAGTCTCTATGGATGGAGTCAAACAAAACCTACATTAGATATAATACGATCACTCACTGGACAACGAAGTTTACTATTACCACGTTCGACTTTTGTTGGTTCTGGCCAATGGAGTGCTCATTGGCTGGGTGATAATGCAGCACTATGGAGTGAAATGAAATTATCATTAATTGGATTAGTTGAATTTAATTGGTTCGGTATTCCGATGGTTGGTGCAGATATTTGTGGTTTTGATCAAATCCCTACACAAGAAATGTGTACACGGTAAGAGAACTTGCTACATGATCTGTTTGTTCTAAGTTTATCTTTGATGTTTATGTTATTCAGATGGCAACAAGTCGGTGCTTTTTATCCACTCGCACGAAATGTATGTCCTTTTATCTGAATTAATGAGATGTCTATTCTATCAGTTTTTAGCATAATATCTGGAAATTACCTGATCAAGATCCGGGTGCATGGGAACCTTCAGCCACAGCTATTATGGTTTCTGCTTTGCGTATTCGATACACACTTCTTCCTCATTATTATACGTTATTTTACAAAGCTCACACACAAGGTTCCACTGTTATTCGGCCATTATTTCATGAATATCCCACAGATAAGATAACACTCGATATTTATTTACAATTTCTAGTTGGATCTCATATTATGATAGCACCCGTGACTGATGATGGGGCTAGAGAAGTTCAAGTCTATATTCCTGCATCGAAGTGGTATGATTACTATACAGGTGTTCCTGTCACTGTTCAAGCACAATATACTACCTTACAAGCACCTTTGACTACGATTCCGATTTTGCTCCGAGGTGGAATAATCATTCCTACTCAACTCTATGCAAATAATACTAAATATTCGCGGTAAGTAATTACACAGATATTGTTTCTCTTTCATTAATGGACTGTATTGTTTGACATTAGAATGAATCCATTCAATCTGATCATTGTATTAGATTCGAATGGCAATGCTGAAGGAGATTTATTCTATGATGACGGTGAAACAATTGATACGATTGAAACAAACGCTTACTTTTATGCAATATATAAATGGTCATCACAATGTCGTCAACTAAAGATTGAGATCATCAAAAATAATTATGCTCAAATGTCCAATTTGATCTTAAACTCGTTAACATTCTACGGATTAAGTGGAGTTTCATCGAATATTATAGTAAACGGTAAACAAATGCCAGTAATTCAGAAATCTCAAACACAAATTATGGAAGTTATCGGATTAGGATTATCCATGAGTAAGAATTACACATTAATGTGGCTGCAACAAAATGAAACATGGTCTAGCAACGATCAAAACAATGCCGCATGCAATTGGAAATCAACTTATACTACAAGTCCTACTAGTATATCCCTAAGAAGTGAAAGCCCTTACACTATATATTCGAAAAATACATTTTTTTGTTTTTTTATTCTTTCCCTCTTCAATTTACTTCATTGATGCAACAGCTTTTTTCTTTTCTTTAATTTACTATTTATAAATCTAATAAATAAAATTTCTCGATACACTATATTATAATTGTGATGAACTTCTATGGAAATTATTTGTAAATAAAATTTGTTCATTTATGTACCTTAAGTATAGTTTTTCATGTCAGAATATAAATAAATCTAAAGTAAATAATTGAAATGAAAACATTAAAAAGATCGTCAACAATTTTTATAACTATTCAATTGATTTTTTTCAGAACAAATTCTTATTGGATTATATCCTTTCTTCAGTTATTCATTGAGACATATTTTGTAAAGATAAACAATAATGTTCTTCAAAACCCGAATTAAAAGTTTGTAAATATGACAACTTTGACAAGAAAATTATGAAAATAATCCTATTAATAATTATCATGTGAATTGATTTTAGAACTATTCTCTCCTTCTTGACAAGAGTCAAGGAGGACCTTAGCAAGAATATTCTTTCGAATAACATCATTATGACACTAGATCGATGGAATCAAGTGCATCAGACTTATATTAGTCGAATAGAAATATCTTTTGACTGTTAACATTTACATCGTTTATCTAATCATTTTTCTTTGTTATATAAAACATGATGGAGAGAATCAGACAGAAAAACAGGAAAGAGGAAATTACTATACGATGAAATACTAATAATCAGAAAAGAGAACAAAGAAGAAAGAAAATTAACAAAAATGTGACAGAACAAATTATCGCTGCAGATTACTTCGTTCTAACTCTTTTTTGATATTTAGAATGCATCTCTTCAGAAAACAAATGGATCATTGAAAAAAATATTATTATAATCAACTCATTCAAATTGTCTCAAACTTTGAGGTTTTATAAAACTTTTTTGTAGTGATCATTTTAGTAATAATAAAGTTAAGACTTTACCTTAATTTAGTGGAGAAACATTTGAAATCCTATTAAATAGTTTAAAGGAGTTGACGCTTTTTCAATAGATCATACCCCTACGCGTATTTTTCGTTTCATTTTATTATTTTTAGTATGGTGATATAATAACACTGTATAGCAAATCATGACCATTTTAAGTGAAAAAATATGAATTAGTCGCACGGAAAATGACCAGTATTTCGACATCCAAATTTTGTCGTTGGAAGTTCAGCAAAAGTTTAAAGAATCGAACAGCTAACTAGGTAGCGCTCAAATTTTGATGATAGATATTTTAAATAGGGAATAGAGTTCTGAGTGTTGATTCTGAATATCATGTTTTTCTAGCATATACGTTAAGTTCCAATAACTATACAGATAATACATATCGTTTTACTCGAAGTGTTCATGGTCTGCTATAGTGCTTTCATATTACTACACTAAAAATAATAAAACGTAAAAAAAATATGCGAGAAGTATATGTACCAACTCCTTTATTTATTACTCTAAATAGAATCAATTTGAAAAGTAATATTTTAGTTTATTATCTATAGGAATAATGGGTATTTTTAATGACGATGGTGTGGCTCTCGATTTGAACATTGTTCTTATATTATTTCTAATACCGAATATCTTTCTTATCTTAATGACTATTCTCTGTACTTATGTTGCGTATGCATCGAAGAGTTATCCTCGTCTATTGGACTTTCTTGGAACGGCGGCCAATTTTTTTTCGCGGGGAGCTCTCATTAGTATTGTCTCCAGTATTTTACAGCAGTTAGAAACGGAAAAACATCGAGACGTAATGGAATCGACGAGAAAAATTTCATCATCACATCTTCGAATTAGACGAAGAAGTTCATTACCCATGAATGTCGAAGCAAAATCACCATTGTCTAAACTCACTTTCGAAAAAAAACAAGATGCCGATTATCTTCTGCTCATTCCAATCCAAATTGATTTACTTCTTACTGTATTTTTCTACAAGATTTTAACGCGTAGAATATATTTTGAAACGTGTCGAACTTATTTAACCACATATCATGATCGACCAGATCATATTGTTTGTTGGCATAAATATACGAACAATAACGTTTCAAATTCCAACGTTAATTCTACACTTCATGATTATTGTCTTAATCAAACAATTTCTTATATTAATTATGAATATAATGATGTTATCTGTATTCAGTATACTTTCAATTTAATCAATATAATTGATACAACGACGAATGTCATTGCATGGCATCAAGCTATTGTATTTGTTGTCATAAA